AGATTGCATCATTATCCGCTGCGCTACCCACACCTCCACAACCGTTTCGAATTCCGCTGTGGAATTCAGTAAAATTTCTTTAAAATTGTGTTCGACGCTGTTCACTTGCATTTGAGCTTTAATGGAACTAGTTTGAAACTAATTGGAAAGTTTTTGTGTTTACGCGACAACTGTTCGCAATGGATGTTCATTTGGTGGAGATTCCAGGCCAGTTAGATCGATTTTTTAGATATATTTTGAATATGGAGTGCAGTGCAGTGGTCGGAGGTGCCCTGCAATACACATGGGATCGATTCCCGCGCCCATGGTTCACGAAGTCTTCCATCTCTCCGGGGTCTACAAATTGCTGAAGGACTTGTCTGGGAAGATAGCAGTACTGGCTCGATACATTAGGCTACCGCGAATCATTGTAAGGGCTATGTATGCATTCAGTCATCTTCAACGATGAATAATGAAGTCGTATGCACGGTGCATCTCTCAGAGATTTTTAACGCCGAGAGCCTTATCCTTTATTTCTATTCATCTTTTGAATATTATTGTCATCTTCTTCCACCATACTTCTCACTTCATGATTAATGGTGTGACACAGTATCCGAGGTTTCATATTGTTTAGGGTCATTCATTCTACACGTTTGCTGATTTATTTGGATTGCATTAGGTTCTAGCTTCTTCTATTACTTGCTCTTCCTCTTCATTGCTTTCTTCACTTACTTTCCTTACCATTGAACAGCCTCATTCTTTCCGAACGAATTCAAGTCAGTCGCATCATGTTGAGCGGACCTGACCGAAAAGCAATCAATATTTTTGTTCATATTTGTCTTATCCTATATTTATTTGTTTATATTTTCGACCATTTTCATTCCCAACACTTTCATGAGAACTCGGACATTTATTTACACTGTTTGACATTAATGACCTTCAGGTAAGCAACCAACGTGAGTCTCTGATGCGTGCAGAGCAACAACAAAAAATTATCGAGGTACGAAAATAGCATGGTCACTATCGATTTATTGATTTAACGCTCGGTTGCATTTGCATAGATGTTTCTGCCCTTGACAGGCTGGTGTAGAACAGGTTCACGGTGAATGTGTTCCATTTGTCGGTCTTCAGTTTTCGTCCATTGATTGATCTTATCAATGATCGGTGGGACCGCTGGTGGTGGCTTATAACTGGACATGGCTATATTCCACGAATTTCCTACCTCTTCAGAGATTCGGCTGGATTACTTTGCAGTTGCAAAGTTCAAAATGCAAATGGGATAAATTGTTGTTACAATCAAATTTTGACCCTTATTTATTCAAAAGCTTTCAAAGAGGTCCAAGTAAACCCTCATAAATTCTTATATCACCTATCAATATTTGATTTAATTTACCATGATTTTTCTTGTGTTTTTCCAATGTTCCACTGTATAATAATGGTTGATGTGGCAGAGTCGGGTGGAACAAATCCTCCACTCTGGAGCGACCTTTGTCTGTTTAATAGTTCATCCAATGCCAAGCGGAAATTTCTTTAGTGAAGACCTCTTCAGTCTCCATCTTTTATGAATTTCAACAGTTTATTATAAGAATGTGAAAGCGATGACGGAAGCATGAGAATCATTGTCGACAAATTGTCCCAGAAACCACTTTAAGCGAAAGCGTTCGAACGCTGGAAATGGTTACTGGAAGTCAGAAACCCAACATAGGAGAGCCATGTGGCTCACTAAACCACGCAGCCAGTAGAGCAAAATCGGCAATGGTTCCTCGAATTTCCCTGTACATCGGTTGTATACTATCGGTTTTGATAGGCAACCAGATGCTTCAATACACCTGAAGAAGTACTTTTGAAGTGGTGCTGTTTAAAATGGCTCGAATCATACAGAGAGAAAGTAAAGAAATTAATGTTCGCAGTATTCGCCATACCGTGGTGTGAATTTTGAAGCCATTATGATCGTAGAAACAGTGTGCACAAGCACGAATTCTGTTCGCTAAAAGTCCTTACGACAGACAACCAATTTATCTGCTTCCCTAATCGTAGACATTTCTACAATGCGAACGTTTTATCAACTCCCTGAACTCACGGGGAGAGGGCGATCTGGTGAAAAGAGATATCAGCGCTTTGCGTCGGTTTGGATCTGAAGCAGAGAACATCAGTTATGGTCGTCCACCAGCGAGAAAACATTGCGTCGGATCTGAGACTACCTCTGTTTGGAAGGTTCTCATTTATTACACGAAATGCAGAAGAACACTAACTTCATGAAGACGGAATAAATTTTTGGTAGCTCTAACCAGGTTTTCGAGGTGTATTTGAATTACTAAATTTGCGAGTGTTCAAAAACTTCAATTTTCGGTGTATCGTGCTTTGTAAACGTCTAGTAGGAAAACTCCTCAAAGTCTCACATCGCCTTATTTTTTTTTGAGATTTTCTTAAAGTTTGTACGGTTTAGTTCAAAACGTATAAGCCCGATGTGACAGTGAAGCTTCTTTTTATTTTCAACTATGTTTTACTTCCTCATGGCTCCTATATCATTCGCTATTTTTTTCAATAGTCTGGTATGAGAATGTTACTTCACCTTCTTTCTCATGCTTTTAAATCTCCAAGCGGTAGTCGACGATTGGGATATATTCAGTCATCCCTGGACAAATAACATCTTCAGGTCCATTTCATTCGTATAAGCAGCGCTTAGAGAAAGAGTTGGTTACAAAGTGTATTTTCGAAATCGTTCAACAAAAGCGGGCAATAAATCATGCGATTCAGAAGAAAGAAGCGCTATTAATTGCCATTGCCCGATAAAAAAGAAGGCGAAGGAATGAAAAGCGTGGGAAAGTTTTTCCGTATCATGATTGATTTTATAGTTTCCATACCTGCAAAATTTACTCTTGAAGCAAGCGAATCGTTTCGTTATTGATTTTAGCGCACTCGATCGCGAGACGTCCCTCTCACCTCTGGCGAAGAGGACTACGCCAGTGATAGCTCACGGGTGAGTCTGACTTGTCACCAATCGATTTGTTGACCCGATCAATAAAAAATTTTGTAAAAAATTTTGATATGGGACCCGTTAAAAGTCTTGTTGATCACGAACTCGTGGGCACTGCTCACTGGGAGAGGTTGCCTTGAATATTCTATTTTACTTTTTCGATTCTTTCGTTTTTATGAACCGTTCCTAATTGTTATAGTGTAATAACCGATCTCTTAAAGCCGTTAAGGCATACTTACCTGGAATATTCGTTGTCATAAAAGTTGCCGGGTACTTAGTTTTAAAATGGTCATGAAGACCTCCCACCAACGGTTTACCGCCTTATCGTGGCTAGGTGGTGTTCCTAGGTGTCGGGCTGCGATGTGCAGTGGATGGATTTATCCTTATGGCAGGGTCTCCCATGCTGAGAAGAAGTTCGGCGTTTCCATCAGAAAGCCAGCCTAAGAGTAAACCAACATCAGGATCCACCACCGTCGTGGTACCAAACTAGTCGCATCGTGACAAATCTCCCTCTGATCCACAAGGGCAGCGACTGCTCCTAGTGGTGACTACCTGCGCCAGACTTTGGCTAGGCTAACCTCGGGATTCCAGGAATTCCAATAGCTTAACTAACAAATCTTCAAAAAATGGGCATTATGATGGAGTCCGCACAACCAATGAGGGCAGGCCATTCAACTATCGAATGCGTAAGTAAATGAAAAGCTCATAAATATGGCGAATTCTGTTTGCACATTTTTACATTGAAGTTGAAAATCTTTACAGTCATGTCTATGAACTCTGGGCATTTTCTTGCATTGCTGCTTGATCCTATATCTGAGAGAGTGAGGGAACCGTAAGGTGCAGTTATTAAACCTTTGGACGTTAATGGTGCAGTGAATAGGGTCTCAAACAGTTTTATGCAACATGTCTGAAACTCTACGTTCGTCTTGCAAGTTTTGTTTTTTCTTATTTTCTTTCTTCTCATAGTGAAATGTCAACGCTCTGTTTCTACGAGAATGCGTTCTTTGTCCTCACGCGGACACAATGCTTCCCGTTTTTGTCCGTTCCAATGCTTTCCGTTTACACTCTCCATACAAGTGGTCATAACTAAACTGGTATCACTACGTGAAACACCAGCGGCATTTATGATAGTTACACTTAAGCACATATGACTTAAAACTACTCCATTCACCTGCAGATAGTTTCGTTGCGGGACCAGGTGGTCATGTACAACGGCGCTTCCGCAGACACAAGGTCTGCTCTGATCAACAAACTCGAGCGTGAACTCACCGACGCACAGCTATGTGTGAGTGTTTAGGACTTAGCAAGTCAATTAAAAGCTGAACAATAAACCTAATTTGTAAGTACGACAAGCTAGAAGTGAAAATAGGTGCAGATGTGGCTTATTAGAGTCTACTATACCTCTAAGTTTCACGTTTATCCATAAATGAGTAGCTTCGAAGGAGGAAAATTTGCATGAGATGTGAACAGCTTGTCATTTTCAATGGAACCGATGAAACCGGAGTCGTTTGGATTATCCACTATAGAAACCGTTTCTGATGAGCTATGTTAGTCTTTCAGTGCATGTAAATTTGAAGATGCTACCGGACTACTGTAAGTGTTCGCTAAAATAAAAAGGAACACTAAGCTAGTTCACGGAGGCTCTCCGATTGTAGTAAATGTGTCAGATTTAGTTTAGAAGCAGCTACTCTTCTTCATTGACTTATATAACAAAAGTTCAGAATCTACGATTGAACGCCAAAATCGGCGCGTTAGTCTCTGGCGGGAGCACGGCAATCAAAAAGGAAGTGATTGATCTAAAAGTGAGTGCAGACCTTCACTGCTACAGTACAGTAAGCTTGCTTTTCATTGTCTACTTCTGAGTTCGATCTGTTGTGTTAAACTGCCAGCGCCAAAGTTCTGCTTGTTTCGTGATAACTCGATTTCAACAAGTGTTAAACGTCTTTGTCAGTCATTCCATCAAGCTTTTGTACTGAGTATTACAATGCATAAACTGATCGAGATGATACTTTTTCGTTTTTCGTAATTTGAGGTATTCTTTGAGTTAGTACTCCACTATGTTGATAATGACAGCCTGAAAATGGAAATTTCTTAGGCAAGTCTGATTACGAATGAGTTCGTCTTGGGAAAAAGTTACCTGCTCTAAAGCTCTGTAGACTTTGCTCCATGTTCTTGAGAGACTTTCGCTCATTTCTGCTTCACCGAACACTTTTGAGAGCATTGCGAATAATCCTGAAGTATAACTGTTTAGCTGCAAGCGGTGGTATATACTCGACTTCACGTCAGTTTGTCGTTATATATGATTGTTGGTTTTTCATAAGTGTTCTTTCTTTTATTCTATTCTTTGACTCTACACGTTATTTCTTCCTCGTAACGGCTAGAGTGGGACTTAATCAAAAGTGGAAGTGTTAAAAGGCAGCGGTTAATCTTTTATAAGTTTCTCTTTTTCTTAATTTTTTGGACTGAATTTGCATGTTATGCGAACCCCACCTCATTTCACTAGGTTTGATTTGTCACGATGAACGACGATGCGTTTAGATTTGGCAGCTACTTGAGGATTTTATCTTCTTTATGAATGCCGTTGAACACTGGTAGAGCTGCTGATTCGCCTTCAGATTTTGCTAAGGTGCTCTACTAGGGTGTTCTCAAGTCTTCACCATAGACAGTCTTTGACCTCCATGAATCGAAGAGAACTTTTCCCAGACATGTTTGCTTCCAATTTACCCTCGTCGGAGAGGTTGGAAGCTTTGTTGGCACAGAGTGAGGTCGAACCAAAGACCACGCTTGTATTTCACATCTCTAACCGCCATGTTCCGTGAGCCCAATAGTGGACAACTTTTTATGAGACTTTCCTAATGTCACAAAATTTTTTTTCGAAGAAGGCAAAGTATTTTTAGGCTTTTCATATCCCGATTCCGATGATCACAGTCCTTTTCACTTTTGATTAGTTATTAACACTGCTCAACGGCGTGACCTCTATAGAAGTCATTTAGTGGGAAAATAATCGCTGCTTTCCACATTAAATTATTGTATCTGAGCTTACAGCAGATTTTTTAATTTCAATAAAAACTGGTAAGGTCTACAAGTCTTTTTGTCTAGTAGAGGTATAGTATTTCTCATTATACCAAGGCAAAATATCCTCAACCCCAGTAAATATGTCCCTTCCACTTTTTTGTTTGATAAATCAAATTTCGAACAGAAAACTATTGGACCAGCTGAGTTTCGTTCACTAGGCAAGCATCACGTTCTCCAATATATCACTTGCTATCAGCTGCCATTATTCCGTTGGATATCTTAACAGTTTGAATCATGTTCTATATTTTTCAAGACTTTTGTTTCTCAGCATATCTAAAGAAGCAAAGTTTTTTTAATAAATCTATGGTGTTCTAAACTATTGAAATACTGCACTGATCGAGATTAGCGTCAATTATCGAAAAGCCAGTTTCGTCGCGAAAGCATTGCAAGGTGGCTCTGTCATAGTTGCATCCTCTGAGTGTAGAGATATCACGTACTTCTTTTTATATAGAATTGAATTAAATCATTCTGAACTGGTCCAGCTTACCCTCCATCATGGCTTTCCTTGCAAACGTAGGACAAATTTCCAACGCCATGCAGGACACGACGAATTCTTTCACGGATGCTGGCAGATCGCAAAATCCTACGATGTCCGAATGCGAATTAATTGTAACTTCGAAAGCCTAAAAACTTTTCGTTTGAGAAAACACGATTTAAGTTTTCTGTTAATTCGTAAAAAATGGCCGTTCTTCAGAAACAGAATTGGATGACGTAGCCGAACTGTTTGGTCTAGAGGCAGCAGTGAATTTCATTTTGTCTTCGTTCTTAGGAGAAATCATCGTATGGCTTCCTAATGGAACCATGATTCTATTGCATAACTTCAGTTGATTTACTATTGAATGATAAACGAAGATGATGGCGAAAATCTAGCTTTTGATACTTCATTCTCATGATTCGAACAAAGCGCTATTAAAAGATGCCTCTCAATGTTTACTTTTTGTATGCTTGATGACGATCACCTAAATTTCTGCTTACTAAAAAGGCATAAAATCAAAAAGTTCCTTTTACATACGTATTCTCGTTGCAAGATATTTGCTTCTATGAAATGCACGTGTTGTTTTGTACTCCGTCTGTCATTTGTTTTGAGTTTAGGTCTGTCACTGCGTTAGTACAACCTCTTCAGAAAATGTTCCGCTTTGCCAAAAACCTTTGCTTTTTTTAAGCGCTGGGGATTAACTTATGAGCGTTAAGCTCTTGTCCCATTGTTTTTCTTTCAACAAAAAAAGCACTTCGTCGAGATCCAGACACTTACCTTCATAGTGATTCCTGCGAGCCGGCTGAATACACGGCTAGTTTTTCTCAAAGGTACCACCATCTTCAAGTTGTGTGTAGTGATCAACGTGGTATATCGCTGATTTAATTGTTCAACGGTAAATAATGAAACAAAATTGGAAATTTCGTGCTATTTTATTTCTTTATTTACGCGCAAGCTGACGTTTCGGCGGATTTCGCCTTCCTCAGAGCCTGGAAGGGTCAAGTTGACAGCAATCCACTCGGCCAAACACCTCCATAACCAAACAGAGAAAACGCCAAACCAGGATTTCAATCACATTTAGCATAGCGCTGCACACTCACCGCTTTCTATGAGTCTTCCACTAAATATGTGACGTAGAGACCAACCGCACAGAGTTCACACGGAATTGTATTGTGCCCATCTCATCAAAATAACAGACTTGTATACTGCCCAATATCACGCGTGATAACGAGGCATTCCTCCCTGCGGTTCATTTTCGGATTCTTGGAATCAATCCAGAATGCCTCCAGAGTTTTGCGCGCTTGTGTTCTCGATTCTTGCGCGAGGATCGTAACCCTTGCTTCAAAATCTTCTCCGTTATGTTTCTGCGTGCTATGCGTACCTAGTGGAGTACTTAGCTTACGTTTGCCGACTAGATGTTCTTTTATAGGTACGCAGAGTGGTCTACCCGTTTCGCTAACGTATTCGTCTCCGCACGCTTTACAAGAGATCAGGTAGACTGTACCAGAACTCATGCAGTCACCGTCTCTACCATTGGGGCAAATTATGCAATTTTGCGTTGCACATAAACGGTCGTATAGGCGGTTACGAACTAGCTGGCCATTATTTATTGCCTATTTCTTTTAACAGCAGGGTATTTGCGAAACATAACTACTATAATGCTGAGAATTTGCAAAACTTCGGACCGCAGGTATATGCCGTGGGGAACGAACGCGCTATTGTCCTTTCCGGGGAGTGATGCGTTCACCACCACGCCATGCGGATCCTTCGTTTCGCCTGTCTCTCAGCTAGTTCTATCGATCTTTGCCACAGCAATCACCCGTCAGCGGGATCAATCCTGGGAGGCCCAAATCGGCAACGAACCCAGTTTAGCTGGGGCTGTAGTTATAATAAATGAAATTGTGATTATTGGTTGAATTCTTGATCTTGATTGGAAATCTTGAAAGCAGGGCACTATGATCTGGGCGGGTCTACCTGGCTGGGGGTTACCTTTCTCGGGGACTCGAAGGTGATCCTGTCTGCCCTATGGCAGCAATAGCAGGGCTTGGAGTAGAAAATGAATTCGTGGACTAATTTGAACTTCAACCCTTGCTCATATAGTGTTCCTGTGTTTTGTGAAAGTAAACTGAGCACACGGAACTATTCATTTATATGAGAAGGGCTGCAGAATTTTAGACGATAAGGAAATACCGTGATAGCGGTTTCACATAGGATTTCTCCTGCTTCCTGCAAACCGAATTTGACAATCTTTTCCCATTTTGATCTGAAAGAAGCTGTTTTGTTAACGTTCGTCAGCTGCTGTTTTAAAATGCTCCGACTGCATTCGTTTCTTTTCTTTGTGTTTCTTTAATTTTAAGCAAGCATGTCAACTATCTGATTCGTATATGATTCATGAGCTTCCATAATAGTGGCATCTTTTAGCTTTATACCAACATGTTTCAGCTAATAGTGGGTTTATCTAAAAAATGAAGATCGATAGAGTCTTCTGATTATTTGCAACGGTAAACATGGCTTCGTTTTCTACCTAGACAAATTTCTGACAATCTGGAGCTCGCGAAACATATCTTTTCGCTGGTTTTCTTAGCAACTCTTATTTCGCACACGAGAGACTGGACTAGCGTAGCGTTTTCTAGTGAGACATGTTACTACCCTAACGTTATGTTGATGTTTCCATTTTGCATGGAGACATTCAAAAATTGTAATTTTGTCTTCAGATTTTTCACAATTTCAACGGAAGACTTAAACTTGGAAAAACATCTCACAAAAATTATAAGCCCTTTTAAAGCAGTGAGGAATGATGATCCTTTATTTAGTTTTCTCAAAATCGCCAGTGCTGAACTGAATTAGAAATTATGGACAGTTATTGAAAAACCAGCTAGGTAGCGAACGTGTTCATCATGAAGTTTTCATTTGTAACAGTTTGAACAACACGAAGTAGAAGAAAGTGCAAGACGTGATTGGTTTACTGTTCCTTGTTCTGCTTGTGCACATTTATACTTTCGTAATGCAGATGCTCGTTGATTTGCGTAGCTAAATTACCGTATATCAAGTATTTCGGCCGACGTCATGCATTCTCGAAGATAGGTATTTCGTTGAATGGCGATACCTTCTCCCATGAAGATCTTAATGTCGCGAAGAAACTAAAGGACTAGATTTAGCACCATCTACGTCATTTCTATCGTTTTATCAGACGTACTGTCAAAACTTGTAAATCGCTGTGAACTGACTAGCTCCCACGATAGTTCGGTGTCGACATCCATTCGCTCATCGTTCACTAGTAAATTTCGCAACGACTCAAGGAATGCGTGCTCAATCAGCTGAAATAAATTTGCAGTGAGCGATTTCGTAACCAAATATTATGTCAGTGAAGGTATTTGGAAACTGTTTTTCCTGGTTTATATGTTATTTGACACCTTTCTGTCAACAAAGGGCGACGGTGTGCTTCATACTGACAATCCGTGTAAGTGGTGATTCTATAACAGACAGGGATTATTTCTATAACATTTTGCGAAGTGGAATGGTCAGGACTCTTCAGGCTGTTGTCTCTTCCAGAAAAAAGTCTTGGCAATAGATCCTCACAAGTTCAAAGTAGAGTTTAGTAGCTCAATGATGTATCTGTAACAACTGTTTACCTCTAAATGTGGTTCCGTAGCATCGTAAAAAAAGTGATGAGCTCCTATCTCATTTAATAGCTTTCTCATGTAATCACGATCGTCAATGTTTTCCATAAGCATTGTTATCGCTGCTTGAACAGAATCACAGTGTTGTCTGGAAAAGGGTTAGTCATAATTTTACACACAGCTTAAAATCTATCATTGATCTTTTAGACGTTATTGTTGATAGCTGATGACACTGACGGAGAGAAAACTAGCTGATAGAAAGGCGAAACGATGGACCCATATAGTGTGGTTGTGAGCGCGTTAGTCCTCAGAAAGGGTAGTAGCGTGTTCGATAACCAACGCAGACACCTGCGATCCGGAACTTTGCAGATGTCTTGGGATCATTGTGGTTGCTAAAGCTAATATCAGCGATCAAGGCGTACTTGTGTTTTTGGTTGTACTACTACAAATATTAGTTAGTTGATGTTAGTTACAGCTGCAATTCCCATATTCAGCCTTTGCCTTACTATTTAGGAGTGTTTATTCCACCAACGCTGGTGTCGTCGCTGTAAAATTCAGTTTCCATGTCCCCGTTTTCTTTCCAAGATAATAAAACTATATAAAACTATAAAAATATTACAGAGTAACCAAGAAGAAGACGAAGGCGACGAAATGTTAGCCGAACTGAACTTTTGTGTCAACTTGGTGTCAGCTCAATCATGTTAAAAATTATTGTTGCAGGCAAATGTTGCAATTAATCTGCCTCGCAACATTTTTTTGGTAGATAAATTCCATCTTTCAAGCGCTGTTAATACCCATCGCACGTGTAGTAAAATTTCTGAACTACGGATGTTTCCGAATTTATAGCCCTTATCGATTGATTTAAAATCTTTTTTATAGCAAGGCGAAAATGACGCGCCTGAAGTGCAAGTCGTTGAGGAGAGTCGTTTTCCACTTCTTGTCCGAATCGTCGATCCTCAGCCCGAATGTCCATAAGGGGCGAACATGTTTGTATTTCTCCACGATGTGCAATAGTGCGTGTTGCACCACCACAGACTGAACTCGAATATCACTTCGGTTCATCATTCCATTTACAATGGGGTATTTCATTGTTGTTTTCTTTTTGTCATATTTCATGCAACATCAACCGTTCCTGTGATTCGCTTATAAACACAACAGTATTACTAAAAAAGAGCAATCGACTTTCTTGTTGAATTTTGGGCCAAAAAACCATGAATGTGGCTTTCGCTCTAATTTGAAGCGTACTGGATTTTTTCGGAATACAAGTTCTATTTTCAAAAACTCGGATACATTTCGCATCAAAACTTTTAATGAGTCGCAACTGAATTACTATACGACATTACCTTAATTGAATTAGAGCAGATCAACGGGAGAAAAAGAGCACCGGAAAAAGAAAGGACTGTTCCGATGAATCTCACCTGTTTCTTGAGTTTGTGCAATTGAATCCAATACGCTCGCGCTAAATCACTCACTTCCAGATCAGTCAAACCATCAGACTCTTCGTTAACCTTCAGAAGACCAGTTTACAAAAATGTACATCAATTAGTGCTCCATATTCACGTGTTGATTGTTTATCAATAACTAATTATTTTTTTCGATTACAAAGAGTCCGTGCAAAAAAAGGATAGCTCAATCCTAACGCACTGGTGTTGTGACTCCCATTACTTTTAAGAATTTATAAAGCCTTTAGTTTCTAAGATTGATAAACCACTAAGACTTTGTCGTTTATTAAAATCTATGTTAATTTTTAGCAGATAAATTCTTACTATCTCATCTGTGTTCCCGACAGAAATCCTGTTGTCCCATGAGCGTTCGTCCTGTGAAGTGTTTTCAGTGGTTGTCATTAGTTCTGGTTCAATGCAACACGCACCTTTGAGAACCGATGTAATTGTTTCGTTGGTCATCTGAAAGACAGAAGTGGTTGTCCTTATTCCAGTTAGGATCGTCTGGATAACACGAGCCATCACTTCTAACTCCTACAAAGGCTTGCGACTTTCATTACCAATAACGATATACATATGGTGCATTGAAGATAATTCTACTTGCATTTATTTGGTCTAGTTTCTAGCTAGTGTTTTCTACTAGAGGGTGTTTGTTATAACTGTTTTTTTTTTTTAGTGTTGTGCCTTAATGGATATCCCTTATACGAGGAATTTTGAGCTTGTTATACCATCGAGGCCACGTGGAACGATACCGCGTGGTTAATGAAGTGTTAAGTGCTAAATCTAAGTAACCATGTCGGTTCTGAAATAGAGATGGAGTCAACGTCCGAATTCTATGTCTCTAGCACTCCTAATCTGCTTATGTGTTGCATACTATTTTTATAAATTTTTACGTGGGTGTGTTTTCGTGAGTGCGACTTCGGTCGATGTTGCTTCTACCCACATTTATATACCGTCGGAAGCTTTCGAGTAATTGACCAGAGCTTAGTTATGTGGAATGTAATTTCTAATTGTTTCTCGGTCCCTTGTTCTGCTAGACGAGGACGTGCAGATAACCTTTTTCTAAAAATAAAGTGGTGCAAGTTTTATAGGAAAAAGGTATCTTTGTATCCTTCAAGTGAAAGGAAACCACTGAAAACCCTGGGGAATGAGGAGGAAATTCGACTTTATTAATTCGGCTAAAAGTTCGATGGGGACAAACTCACAGGTGATAGGCTTACACTTTACCAGTTCTTCTAGAAGGCTGGTGTAACCGATTTTCGAAATCAATACTAACCTTGCAAACTCTGTATTCTCGATACATGGATCCCATCTATGCACCTGTTGGAAAAATCCTGGAAAGCATTTCGTTGTGTTGCAACGTTTAAATGTTTTATGGTTCTGACTGAGCCATGGCTACGAATGTAATCAAAAGTAACTGAATCCGAAATGTCGATACGCGTTACCGAATGCGGGACTAGGGCAAATGAGAATTATGGAGGCTTTGAAGACGAGAAAATGTAGCAGCAAACTCCAAGCTTCAAAATAGTGACACACGAATCAACCTACAATTTTTCTTAATCATAACATCCATAATTGCAGTCTTCTTTCCTTTTTTCTCAATTTATCTTATTATCACAGCGATACTGAGGTATTTGCAAAACTTCGGATCGCAGGTGTCTGCGTTGGACAACGAACGCGCTGTTTCCGTTTCCGGGGGTTAATGCGTTCACCACCACATCATGCGGGTCTTTCGTTTCGCATGTCTCTCAGATAGCTTCTCTATTGATGAGTGCGATCAGCAATCACCCGTCAACGGGACTGATGTGGAGAGCCCACATCGGAACTTAATTGAGCTGAGGCTGTAGTTGAAATCACAGTGTTTTACTTTTTATTTGCTGCCTATTTCGCATAATACTCTGCCGTGAAAAGTTGTAATAAAAAAGCGAATAAGAAGTAAAACATTGTGATTTCAACTACAACCACATCTTAATTGGGTTCAATGCAGATTTGGGCTTCCCAGATCAATTCCGTTGATGTGGTTGCTGATGACAAAAGATCGATAGAACTAGCTGAGAGACAGGCGAAACGAAGGACCCGCATGGTGTGGTAGTGAGCGCGTTACTCCCTGGAAAGCACAATAGCGCGTTCGTTCCCCACCGCAGACACCCGGTCCGGAGTTTTGCAAATATATCAGCATCATTGAAGTTACAAAGTTCGCTTTATTTATATGATTTGTTACCCTGCAATCGTTGTCGATGAAGATGTTGAAATTTTCGTTCGTGTTCGACGGTAACTTTAGCACGTGGTACGCTTCACGAGCATTGCCGAAAGATGATGCTTACTAAAATCCGGGTTTAGCCTCTTTAGGGCTCTTCGGGGTCTTCATCGTAGGCAGTTGGTGGCCTTTTTGGATAAAAGAAAGCTTTACCTAAATAAGTTCGATACGAGTTTCCCGATCTGATATTGATGACGGCTTAGTTGGCGCAGTTTTGTGTTGAACCGAAAACCGTTTGTGTATCGTAGGGCACCTTTATCCACTGTGCACATGCGCTATCAAAACTCGTTTTACAAATCGGATAAGCGACAGAAAATCCGCACGAAGTAAAATTCAAGTATTATTTCGACTAGAATAGTTAGTGGTATCGATGATGTTTATAGTGATTTGATTTGAGTTCCTAGAAATGTTCGTTGAACACTGATGAAAATACGGAGGTGCGCTAAAGCTGTTAAGACAACGAATTGGGAGATGTTGCTCTACAAGTTCATTGTGAAAATAACGTCGTCATTCTGGAAGAGCGGCATTAGTCAGCGAAATGTTTATTGAAATTCGCAATATTTTCGTAAGAAGAAGAAACCAATTCTTGAGTACCAAATATCACCTCAATTCTATTGACCACTCTAAAGCCTCACCGAAATGGACAAATGAGAGTTTCCTTTGGCTGGTGTTCTACGTACTTTTTCGATTTCTCATGGCCAGTTTTTGCTAGAAATCGATTTCTTCTCTTTTCTCTGATTTTTTGTACTGGTGAGATATGCAAATACTGGATGAGAACTGTTTGAAATAGTTTCTACAAGTCTACCAAAATTTTCCTTGTGTTTACTCGCCGAGATAAAACAGCGCTCTAAGTGCACAGAATTAAGGACTGGGTGAACTGTCTGTCCTGAGTCATGGCAGTGAACGACGATCAGTGGTGTAGGTGAGCAGCAATTGTGCTTTCCCCTCACCTGTAAATATTTGTCAACTTCATGTCTGATTTCTTTTCTTAATTCCTTTTACGTGTCTGATTCGTCTTCTGGATCTCATGTCGTCCATGCTGCATTGATTTCACTAGAAACAAAAATCTCTTGCCCTGAAATCTTTCTGGTCTTTCTTGTTGTTAACACAACGTGCCCACAGAATAGTACTTCGGATGAAAACTGCTGTCCAGGCCGATTCTTGATTGAATTTTGGTTTGCTACTTGTTCAGTAATAAGTTATTGATTAGTGCCATTTGCTCTGCAACCTTCTTTCCTATTTACTTTCAACGCTGTCTCCGCAGTGCACCATACTCTTACACAGTTTTATTACACTAAAATCGTCAACTTGTTCGATTTTTTGTTCCATTGCCGTTAGATCAATAAATCGATGGTGTATTTCAGATAGGCAATGACCAGTGGTAATTTGTAAGGCAGTAAGTCCACCAATTACCTTCATTTGAAGTATTGTAACCAGTTCAGCGCTAAGTAGATGTAACTTTGAGTCAGCGCACAATTAGGCAATCTAGATGTAACTTTGTAGCAGCGCTCACTTAGGTAATCCTAAGAAATAGAGCTGTGGCTTCGCAATCGATTCGTCAGACTAGTGATTGTATGGCTACTCATATATGTTTGTAAATGTATGCATGAACGTTCCAACTGCATCCGTAAGACTGAGATCAACGAAAACCATTAATTCTGACGGCTGCAAAACAATTGAGGTGCCGTTCACGGTCACATTATGCAAACATGTCGTACGTATTCATTTCAGAAGAGACTGTCAGTCCACGCTCGCGTTCAACGCATCACTTACAACAGATCCTAGAAAGCAACTAATTCATAAATAATAGAAGAGACCGTAACCGTAACATTCGCCAACGACAGAGTTGTTAGAACTAGAACCCTTTTGAGAATAAATTTGGGCAGAATATACATTCATCTCCAGAGATTCTTAATGGAATGGAATGGATGGCGTGTTCCTCAGGGATTGATTAATGGCAAACGCTTTATTCATTAGGTTTATTACAGGAACGTAGGTGGGAAAAGAATTCAGTGCAAGTCACGAAGATTCACGGTTTGCCACAGTGGTCAATTGAAATTGGTGTCGAACTTTTCAAACTCATATTCCGTGAGGACATGAATAGATAAAGTGCTAAAGTTAACCACAACAATCGGGCCCAACTGAAAATTCACCGAAAAAGCAGTTTGAAATCCTTCTGGAAATAGCAAGGCGATAGCTGGAGTGAACTTTGTTAACTCCGGTGAAACATTTTGGGAACAACCGATCTTTGATTTTAAATATGTCGTACGGAAAATGTTGCCTTGATATATATTGTTATGACTTTATGCATTTTTCCTACATTATTTTCCCTTATAAAGAACCGAGGCTGTAAGTGCCATTAGATATTGGTCAAGTTTAGATTTTAGAGTATATTGGTCTATTTTTGCTACAGTAAAATAAAATAAAAGATAAAGCTCTGCGTTGATCAATCTGTGAGGGATGCGCCATGCATTCGACTTCATTAAGTGTCGTTTGGAGGTGATTGAATCCATGTCTGGCCCTCCCAAACAAGTTTGGTACCAATTTGCCAACCCCGGAGGAATGGAGGGCTTGGTGGGCCATGGGCGCGAGGATCGATTCCACGTGAGTGTTGCAGGACGCCGCTGACCATTGCGCTACGCACACCCTTAAGCTTGCTTTAGTATTTTAGCATATTTACTCTTCGCACATAATTTAAAAAGCTGTGGTTGTTTCGAAGTTTTAAAACGAAAAGACAAATCGAACTAGAATCTAAGGAAAATGTGGACGCAATTTTCAGATACCGTAGTTCCCAGTCAATGTTTTTTTCAAAATAGTTTTTAGAACGATATCATTTATAAAATGTGAAGGTAGCAAGCATATGAAAAGCCCGTGCAGTGCCGTGCGACTAGAGGAGAAGCGGTTCCGTGGTCTCCACCATTCGGGGGGACGAACGTCTGATAACGCTCTTCTTACTAACACAAGTAAACAGTCGATAGCTATAGTACTCCTGACAACTACGCCGTTTGCAATCCATGTAGTAATTTTGAGGCATTTCCCTAACGCCGAGCTATGATTTCTTCTAAACCAGCTTTTCTTCTTAGACAATAAATCGCTGATGACTTTGAGTTCGACGACTTTCTGGATGATCGAAAAACTGTGCACTTATGAATAAGGAAAAAAGTGTCAACTCAGAGGTTCGTAGTATTGACTGAAGAATTCTCTATGTACTGTCGTGTTTTTTCTCGTTAGTTCAGATAACGACTGTTTATACTTCGGTTCCGAAATTTTCACGCATTCTGGGAACTCTCTGAACGCAGTGGATTTGGTGAGAATTCTAGAATTCTTCCTTTCATTAACGCTGACAATAGTGCCGCGTTATAGTAAATGAGAAAAAACATCATAAGTTTAAATCAAGCAGCTCTGCCTGAACAGGGCGTGTTCCCTTTTTCCGAAGTCGTCAAACGTGTATTTACTAGAACTAGTCAGGATTGGACAAGGACATAACTGGCCTAAAGGCTCACTCACAGAATAAATTCCTCATCGCAAAGATTATAAATTATATTCATTATGGGTCAATCAGGAAGTATGGCGCTGATTTGACCCACTCTCAACACTTTCCTCAACATGGAATCGCCTACTGACTATCTCCAAGATTGCAAGGAGAATCGAATCGATAAGCAGGAAAACGAATCGAACACAGAAAGTAAATTTGTGCTGGGATCCGTGCGGTAGATGTGACGACGGAGACGATGTAATAATTAGTACAATAACGTAATTATATTCGCCTGTAACAGCAGCAAAAGGCGAAATTGAGATCCCTTTTTATATGACCTAGCATCACATGTATTATGGATATTTAAACACTTCTTGCATTAGACTCATTTCCTCGCAACCATATTTCGCAGTCTTTTTCGAGTAGATTTAGCTACTGCTTGGCGATTACTGAACTTCTCTATGCATGTCTCTAAAAGCTGGTCAAGATGATTCTTTCTGAAATCCTGACATAGGCATGCTAGGTTGTTTCCAGTTTTCTTTACAGGCGATCGACAGATACTCATGGAATGGGGGTGGGGAGTTGGGTGGTCCTAAGACAAGACTTGTTCGAGGAAGACCTGTAAAGAAGCCTTAATTGACCTAAAGCAGAGTCGAGTCGGAGCCTTGCGATTAGTGAACAATTTCACGGCAACTATGCTATCTACACCTGAAATTGGAGCCAAAACACTTTAAAGTGCCAAGTGAATTAAATGTTAAGAAAGTTACGGCTCGAAAGCGTAGTTGAGCGCTGGACGAGCAGTAAATGTCAAGTACGAGCAGTGACCGATATCAGATATGCGAAGTCTATCCGCCACCATGAAGCGTCCGATGATTCCACTCTTCACCGCGACGGACCACACTCCGTGTTCATGTTGGGCAACCTTGAGAACGACCAGCCAGCTGATCCGGCAGGTTACCACGAACCACCCGTTCTACACGTGTTTGGCGAGTCAGTGTATCGATTCGGTTCTACCTGTGCCTGCCGTGCCCTTTATTTACTCATCGCCTATTCAACAAACCTTGTTTGCTGTTCTACGAACTGTTCTGGTATTTGTATTCTGCGAGATTACTCAGATCGTTCCATCATTTCCTTAAAGTAATCTAATTACATTCGTTATATTATTGGCAAATCAACTAGAGCGTACACAAAATTTCTCGTTCAGAGCTAAAAGGACCCATATAGCAACAATCACAGCCACTTTTCTTGGTCACTACCTAAAATATCGCTGCATAAATGAACGACAGACACTGTGTCAATTGCAAGGCTACGTTGCCCATGCCTTACTCTTCATGGAGTATGAAAGGTGTACCAAGAGAGAGTACATATCTTACAAGAGTTCGCATCTTATCAGATATCTTTCTCTGCTCTCTTTGGAAATTTCGAGTCACCAGGCCTTTGTGAAAGTCAGTAGTCTTTTATCATAGTGACAGAAATGTTGAGTAGTTCTTCTCATCGAACGCTAAGAATTTTTTTGTTTAAGAGTTGGTACAAAAGTAAATTGCTATTGCGATCCGGACAAGAAAAGGGATGACCCTTCTTTGGTCTGGGCTATTTTCTAAAACTTGTAATTTCATAATGACAGAGTTTGGGCATCAAGCCTGAAGAACTGTGAGTTTTGAGCTGAAGGACAAGAATTGTATGCTTCAGGTAGTATGAATATTTCAACCGAAGTGTTTGCCTCTTAAGTAATCCTTTTAAGCCTCGAATATGCTCGAATATGAAAAGTGGTAGATCATCATACCTGGTAGATTGAAATCATTTGTCATCAAATCAGTCGAGGATGGTGTTGAACAGAGAATTGTGGAATCGGCCGTTTTTCACGCATTCTTGCCGCCGATTGGAAATCACCACTATCGGAATGATGGAAATCATCAGATACGGTTGGCATGACGTAACCGCGTGAGTCGATTTATGACGGTTTCCGTTAGTTTGATAGTGTTTTAAAAACGTCGAGGAGTATTTTATTCCATCATATTTTCTGTTTTTAGTTTGGACCTTCATCGTAAAGCTGGACGTTTGTTTCCGTTTCCTTCTTCTTTTTTCTGGAACCTTTTTCTTCCTTCATGAGTCAGCGTTGTTAAATTTCTTAATGCGTGATGAAGGAAGGCGCATTGGCGCTACTTTTCCGACCCGCAAATATCGACTGTCACTTGCTAATGTTACGATGACGAGAGTCCTGATATTCTTGCTTTGTCGCTGTCTATTTAGTACCGCATCGAAACTCTATCTGTCCCAAATTATCAGGTTTCCCAGCTCATTCGTATCCTTTTTGTTCATTCATTCTAGAAGAAAACCCATAGGAACTTAGAGGTGGTAACGTGGACTCGATACGTCGGTAATGCAATAACCATAGAAATCCATGTTACGTGTCATATGGCGTAAAAAATGCTCGAATATGAGTGGAAAATGTCAGTAACCAGCAAAAGTCCTCCGAAAACAAAAGATGTTGGATGGGTTTCGAAATGGATAGGTGATGGGCGTTTTATTCACTTTGTTAGCCAGATTACATCTTAAGCAAAATCCACCCCAAGGGCTGCTTCATGAAACCATAAGGACACGACGGCGCGGTTTTATCGCTGTCTTTCATTGTTGCATTTTTTAAACTTTATTTATGTTCCGCGTATCCATCGGCGTTTATTAGGTTGCTCTGAAATTAGTGTCCAGTTTGTCATTTCTTTTATCTCAGTAATATGCGTTTCAGTCGAATGCTAGAACAAAGCATGTTTTATGCGTTTGCGCTCTACGTAATTGGTTTCTGGGATACATTGTATTTTTGAAAAGTGTAATGTTTTGAAAAAGATGAGACGTCAAGACATCAAATTATGCAAATTTGGTTTTACGAATTCGGACTCGGACGTGCGCAACGCAAACAACTCGGAACACCTATGAGGTATAGGAACAAGGAACTGTAAACGAAGACACAGTGGTTTGTTTTACTGGTTTGGTTCAACGTTCGTTTGGAAAATTTCCTCGTGCCTAATTCGACCTTGAAGGTGTTGTTCCGATCGTTGTTCTGCTGTTGAGGACGGTGGATTGAAGGGTCTTGTGGAAGTAAACACTCGCTCAACACTTTGAGAACTTGGGAAGAAACTCACTGCGGGCATCTCTAATGTTTCGGAGCATCTAGAGGTCAGAAATGATTAGAAAGTCAAAAACGTCCGACAAATGGGTTCCTTACGATTTGAGTGACACTTAAAGAAATTGTCGTTCTGAAATATCGTCACGCTTCATCTTCATAATCAGAACGATCCATTTCTCGACTGCATTGTGACGCGCAATGAGAAATACCTGTGTGACAGGCGGTGATAATCATCACCGGTTGATCCGAGATGAAGCTCTACAGCACTTTCCATGGCCGAAATCTCGTGAAAACAAGGTTATACTGACAATTTGTGGGTTTGCTGGTTTGTCCACTACAGCTTCCTGAATGCGGGTGAAACGATAATGGCGGAGCAGCGCGTCCAACATATCAAGGAAATGCACCGAAAAGTTTGCCCAAAAGAAAGGGAGTTATCCTTTTCCGAGATAACGGTCTGTCACTTGTCTTACTAATGACGATGCAAAAGTTAAACAAGCTATACTACCACGAAATTGCTTTATCCACCGTATCCGCTTGACTTCTTGGCTATAAACTACCACTTCGTCAAATATCCCCGTGTTACAAATGATTCGGAAACTAAGCTGAGACGAAATAACTTCAGCGACTTCATCATTTCCGGAAATCCACAATTTTGTGCATCCGGTATAGGCATAAACAAAGGTTCTTACTTGTAGCTGGTAATTTTTATTCCGACTTGAAGTATGCCGCCTTGAAAATACTGGTTGAAATCGGGTATCATTTTGCGCAGAATTTGATATGAGCGTTATGTATTTCTCATTTGCGCGCATACAAATCACCCACTCACCATATTCATTTTGATTTTCTCATTTCCTATCGTTGTCCATATCGATCGTCTATTTTTTCCCTTTCCCAAAAAGTTGGGCCTTTTTCAGTTCTCCTCAAACCGCATTTGAATTCGTGAATTCTTCATCGATTTGTAAAACAGCATTGTCCTATTCATTGCTTCGAAAATATTCGTATATTCTTCATCAGCATATGCTTTTCGCTATCAGTGCTTACAGCGTTTGTCTGGCTCTTTTTCAGCTGCGGAATGGTGCTTTTTGGTCATTGTTTGGCCATTGCCTCCCTCGTGTTAGGCCCGGCATACTTTGTCCTTTATCAACATGATTTATTAACATGAGGCGATTGAACTACAAATTGAATTCTCCTAATAGACATTTAGATCCATGAAGAATGGATAAAGTGAAATAGAAGTATTGTGGACGACACTTCTTTTCCGCAAACACTAAAGTAAGGGATAGAAAATAAAGCAGTGTTTCCTTTAAATGAAGTTGGTCGTTGGTAAATTCAATGAAATATACATACTTTCGGGAAAATAATTATTGCAAGAGGTGCTACACTTGCAAATTCTAACTGGAGAAAGTCACTTAAATCAGGCTAATAAAGTTATTATTAATATTAATAACGATTATACGAAGCGTGTGGCGGTGTGGTCGAAGGCGCCCTGCAATACACATGAGATCGATTCTGGCGCCCATCAGGCCCTCCATCCCTCCGGGGTCGTCAAATCGGTACCATACTTGTGTGGGAGGATAGCAGCGTTGGCTCGATACATCATTAGTCTACCGCGTGCCATTTCAAAGGCCATATATGCATTCAATCACCTCCAAACGATGCTTAATGAAGTCGAAAGCATACCACATCCTTCAGGTATTGATAAACGCCGGTAGCTTTATCCTTTATCTTTTATTCGAAGCGTTCAGCGTTGATTTACCCTTTTCCCAATGTATCTAAGCTTACCAAACATCGTGGAGGTGGAAGAACATTTGTTATATTTGACCCATCTAATGACTTCTTCGGGTCTGAACATATATGAAGTCTGATTTTCTCTCAAACAATGTGCCAATTTGCTAATCTCGGAGAAGTGTTCTTGACCTAACTACTAATTGGTCTCCTACTAGTATTAATACCAATGATATTTATCGTACTAATAATAGAATTAATAACAATAATAATCTGACACATAATAACATCTTTAATCATCTAGGAACTCGATCGGGCACCAGTAAACAGTCGAGGGTCAGGAACAACGTCAGAGTTTTTGTGCAGAGCCCTTTATTTCTGTTTGTGGCGATGAGATAACCAGTTCTTAATCAGATTCTGTCGTAGCATAATTTTACTTCTAGCTCGATTTTCGGAAGGAGATGTTGAGAATCTCTCTTTGGATGATCCTGCTTGCGGAATAGTATGGGTAAATTGTGCATTGTGCATCGTAGTTTGACCGCAACGTTAATGCTGACAATATTAATAATTATATTAATAATAATACTGATGACAGTAGTAAATTATATTAATAATAATACTGATGACAGTAGTAATAATAGTAATTTCTAATAGGTCATATAACTTAGATGGTGTTTCCTGACACGACAAATGGGTCTAGCACATCTGACTACGTTTTGTTGTTTTCCAACTATCACCTGCGACGATTTGGGTTAAGTCGGAAGATTAGTATCTGTCATCTTCTAGCCTCATCGATACGTCGACTTCTGATCGAGCGCAACTTCCCCGGAGTCCCGAATTGCTGCTATTAAGATGTTCCAATATTTTCACCGCAGACAATCACCAGATTTTACGGATTCAAAAAGCTAGTCGTAACTACAATTCTTACACGTTGGGAACGATTCTTACTAATCATAACGTCTTGGTTTTTATTTTCTTCCTTTTTCTTGATGACAAGGCACGATATGAAATATAACCAAAGGATGCTGAAATATGATCAAGCCCGGAACCTCAGGCGCTTCCCAGATAATTTCTGTTGAAGGGTGATTGCTGATAGTGCTGATAGGTTGAGAAACCGGCTGAAAGCAAGGTGAAGCAAAGGTGTTCGTTATTGCACTGGGTAATAAAAGAGCCCCGGAAAAGGTGATCGCGGGTTCCAAGTGCACCTAAGGTGCCGAGTTTTGTTCATACCTCAGCATCCTCGTGATTCCTACTAATACCTTATTTTCCAGATACTCAAAATAACGTAATGATTAGTTTATAATACACAAATAGTTGCTACTACTACCGCCAATGGTAGTAACATTATTAGTGGTTAACAATAGTTACAATAATTACAGTAATAAAAATAACCCCCTTTATGGTTTACTGCCTGGTTGTTTGCCGCTGCTACGTTTTCGTAAGGAAATGAAAGACAAAGAACATATTCACAAAAATGCAAGTCTCTTCGTGTCTCTCAGGAGGGCGCTACCCCGTAGGGGTGTGTGAGGTGCAGCAAGGACGAATGTAAACTTTTCTGGCCTCTTTACAGCGCGACTACGAAATTCTATGGTATCGGGTTTGTACACCTGCATCTTGTTGACCAGTATGTTCATTCTAATGGTCATTATCTTATTTATGTTGATTCTAGTAATCCTTCTCTTTGCAATTTTTTGTTAGGTCACTTTGTAAGGCTTCGATTTTATCATCCAAAACTGGTAATTCTTTTCGCTCCTACTAGACTTCAAAACGAACAACATTTCTGTAAAGTAAAATTTTCATAAGACGTCGATTTCAGCCATACCGTCTTTACAATACTTTAACTCATTATTTACTGCCCATTTTTTTTCATGACAGCATACGATGTGGAATACAACCACAAGCATGTTAAAATATGAATAAAACCAGGAATTTCAGGTGGGCTTCGAACTCGATTACACTTATCGCAGGGTCACGTGCTATCTCTCCACCCCACTTACCGAAGCCCTTGCAATTTCCTTTCTCTCGTTCATATTTCTACTCTATTATTGCCGTTAGCTGCTGATTGCTGATAGCATCGATAGAGTGAAAACATGACTGAGAGAAAGGGAAAGCAATGTTTTGGTTGGTGCAATCGATAACACATGGTCTCCTGGAAAAGGTTATCGAGGATTCCAAACGCAACTGAGATTCCCAGTTTTGCTCATAACTCGGCATCAGTGTGGTTATATTCCACATATCGTCCTTGTCGTTCACAGCTTCATCATGACAAGTCGGTGTTCATGGTCAGCAGTTATGTGGAAATTGTGCTATGACCCGCACCATTTGGGAAGACTAGCCGTCTTAGAAAAATTGTAGACTTTTAGCAGATTGAACTAAAGAAGGAGAGAACTCGAGAAACTTGATAATCCCATATTTCCCTAAAAGCATATATTTTTTCATATTTTTGATTTTAATCTTCAGTTTGACGTCTGAAATTAAAACCCTAAAAGGATAAAGCTCTCGGCGTCGATCATTTCCTGAAAGATGCGCCATGTATTCGACTTCGCTAAGCATCGTTTGGAGGTGATTAAATGCATATCTGGCCTTTAAATGACTCGCGGTGGCCCACCGATGGATCGAGCCAGTGCTGCTACCCTCGCAGACAAGTCCGGTACCAATTTGCCGACCTCGGAAGGATGGATATCTTAGTGAGTCATGGTCGTGGGGATCAATTCCACGTGCGTGTTGCGGGACTTCTCCAACCACTGCGCCACACGCGTCCTTGATGTATGAAATTGTGCAGTAAAATCACAAAGCGTTTAATGCAAGCGTACTAATTTCGCATATTCACCACCGAGCTTCTCAACACATAGGCTGCAAAATGAGTCTTATATGGTTCATGTGTGCCCAAAACTGCAAGCATCTCCCAACTTTAAACATTAATATCTCTTTCACTGAAATAAAAACTGTTAGAATCTAGATGTTTGCCAACAAAGAACCACTTTTCTTATACTACAGCATTAAAACTATTATTCCAGGGAGACTTTAGAACATTTTCCGGCTCTTTATTCCGACAATTTCTACTTCAGCAAGAGGCCAGTGAGGCCAGAGGTAGCGCAGTAATTAGTGATTTAGTGCATCAGGAAGTAAGGTGCTAATTCGATCTCTTTCTCGACGCTCTTCCCAACCTAGACGGAAATCTCTTAGTTCGGCTCTCTCCAAAATTGATGGAAGAATTGGCTTGTCCAATATTCTGCGACATTCACCCGGAAGGGGAAATCCTCAAACAGCATCCGAAACAACACAAGAAGTGTTCGGAGACCTTTGTGGACGGTGAATGCAAGGAAAGTGAAACGAGTGCAAGAAGTGATGGGATCAACACTGTTGGTGTCATGACAGGCCATGTAAAACAGAATGAAATAAATAAGATGTTGAAGTTCACCATGTCATGAGATGCGCTCGTTTAAATATGAATGGGAAAGTTATTTTTGTCTACGTGTCAGCTTTAGGTTGGTCATTTGGTGGTCCAGATAATATTGTTATCTAATCGTTTATCTCAAATGCAAATGCTTTTTTCTAGCAATTTTCTTACCAGTTTGCAATGACGTATTGCTTCCGGTTTTTCCTTCCTTTGTGAGAAGGTTATTTTCTCTGGGTTGCTAAACAGAATTTTTCATTTTCTCCTTGTGTCTTGGAGCCGACCTAACGGGCCTCTCAGTCCTCGAGTCTATCTTCTGATGAAAAAGTCCAATAAAGATTTTATTATCTGAGGTTTTCTCTAAGTATTTTCTGGTGAGTTTCTTTAGTCGTCAACAAATTCGTTTTGCTTTCATCCTAATCATGTTGTAATCAATAAAAGTATATCTTTGCCGCGAAGTATTCGAGCTTAACCTTTGGGCTTTCCCTGTCCCAAGACAACTAATTGTTTTAATTTTTAGGTTCTGTAATTTTTTTGGCTGGTATTTGAATTTTTGTTGAGATTTTATGATGTGGTGAGCGTAATGAACATGGAAATAGAAAGTCTTAGGGTAAGGAAATAGTTACTCTTTAGAAAATAATAGGACTATCAAGGAGACTAGATAGAGTTAACATTATTTATAGTAGATGCTGCAGATGAACAGTTATCGATTTTTTTCAGAAGGACTTGAAAGAACGTAATTCTGAAGTGGATGCATTGAAGAAAAAATTGCAGAAAGCAGAAAAGGACAGGTGAGCTTTTAAAGAGCGTTCTCTCTAGTTCACTCCTTATGGTTTTTTTTCGTTGGTATTGTTTTGTCATGAGCTAGAGAATGAAAAGCGATTCATTCCGATGAACGTTTGATTTTTATGAGACCGAAAGCTTTGTTCAAAATGCTCGAGATTTATGTAAAATTAAAAGAGTATAGATGTAGACCAAGATGGACCGGCTTCTCACTAAACTACTTGGCGCTTCGTCTTCCTTGAGAAGTAGCCTGATTTATGATTCTGCCTCCCTGCCTCTGTTTTTCCGGATTAATTTATGCTTTATGTATCCATGTATCCATATTTTGAAATACGTATATAGGTAATTTTTCGTCTGTGCTTATTATAACAGTAAGCCCACTTGGGTAAAAAAAACCCGTAATCAAGAAATTGAGAAGGTTGCAATTTGGTGTCGCCTTCAAGACCATCGGCAGTAGTAGGAAAAACAGCTATACGAAAAAAAAAGTATCGTGTTTCTTTTCGGCTACCCCATGCGCGTGGGGATTTTGCCGGTGCTCTTACGAGTTACTCGTCAAGAAAGATTATAGACGACGACTATGCAGATAAATCGGTTCATGAGTTGTTATTGGAGAGAATGTCGCCAAGATGTTGCGTCACCATAACTTGAATAATAACGAATCCCATCGTTTATAAAGCACACTGCCGAAAGGTACTCTAGATTGTGAACACTCAACAATGTCGAAATTTTCACCTATACGTAGTGAATTTTTTCCTGGATTCGGTTCAAAATATGACAGTATAGTCAAGAAGTTGAGCACGACGCAACGATTGAGCAGTGCAAGTTTGTGAGAGAACTAAAGTATCAGTAGTACGGCCGGTAGTACTCTAAGGAAGCATGGAGCAATGCGGGGTTTTGCATTCAAGAACACTTAGTCAGAAGTTCCATCTCAATCGCTGCTCTGATACCTGGGGATTCTTGCATGTTTCTACTGAGGATCAGTTGGTTGACCACCGTCTGCGAAGACAAAGTGCTGACTTGCCCAACAAATACTCTTTGCGGTTCATCTTTCTTGTCAAATAGGCCAAACTACCTTTGCAGAGTTATTAATATGATGGAGTGGTGGATATGATAGAGTTCTAGTATTGGGTCTCTATGAGCTTAAGTGGTCGTGGTCGGTTCCTTATTACTCTTATTTTCTACCTTTGTGGTTTTATTGTTACTAGTCCGTTATATATTTTAACTAAACTCTACATTCTTCTGCTTGGAGTTTTTTTAGTGTTCCCTCGTTATGCCGTTTTAGACGTGAGTAATCTCATCGTCGCCGTTCCTAAGTTCGGTTAATCTGTAGAGCAAACATGCATAGTAACTTACGTTACTCAATGCGAAGAACCAGTTTTTAATGGATTTCCCATATTGCGCAAAAGCAAGGATTAGTAGAATATTTAAGTCATATTTGAATCAAGTCAACTTTCATGAATTAAAGGTACAGAACTTTTGTCGTCATCGAGGAAATAAGGGTAAGATACAGTTGGAAACAAGTTCGTTGAATGACGGAAACTTTTTTGCTTTGAGATTACCTCAAGATAACATATAAACACTAGGCCATATCATAAGATCGTTGGTTAAAGTAGTAAGTTAAATGTGGACGAAGAAAGAAAAAAAGTCCGAGAAAGTCCACGAGAACAGTTATCGCAATGATTACGTCATTTCCTTACCGCTGAGACGTTACGGCTTACCACTGAACGGCTGAGGTCATATCTAACAAAGAGGATTTGTGATGTGGTGGAGTTTGAGTGAGAAACGAGAAAAGGAAATAAAAAAAATAAAAAATAAAAAAAGAAAATGTTAATATTGTCGATAGAGGACCACTTCAAAGAAGGTGCGGTCTACTAAAGAGTACTGTGATGCGTAAATTAATTGCGATAAGATATAACTGGGGGAAGTATAAAGCTGTCGTTGAGGAAACGTGTTTGAGGAGGGAAGTCGCTCGTCTTATCGATATGTGTTAAGTGGTCTTCTTCCTTTATAACGAATTCTGTGCACGAATGCTGCTTCCGCAGTCCATCAAATTGCAAGTGATGAGAAGTGCAGTGGATACACTACGATTCTAAGATTGAGATAAAAATGGATTCCAGTCGAATAGGTGATCGTTTTAACTTCAATTTTCTTTTAGAGAAAATCTGAATATTTTTCGGAAAAGGTTCTCAACAAATGTCATTAGAGACAATTTGGATGCTGTCATTAATCGAAAACGTAATCAAATTCGAACACGAACAGTTTGATTTACTACTTCACTAGTCCACAGAGTGGCAAATCAAGGACAATTTAGAACTAAATTATTCCTCCAGAAGATGATCGGGAAGTAAAACTAAAATGAGGCTTTTAACACTTAGCTTCTAATGATGAGTAGTAAGTGTGGCTGACCTTAGGGTGATATCGATGATGAGGACCATGACAGCATCTGCTAATCTACTGAGTAACGGGAAAGGGTTTCGTTTCCGTTGCACTTAACTAGGACTACAAAAACGAATCGGTTTTAATGTTGTTTAATGACATCAGTCATTCACCGACAGCGTTAATGACGCTAATTGCGAGGACGGTGCCTGTCGTTTTTCTTCATCCCATGCACTACTGTGGAAGTTCGGCGAAAATAGCGAGATTTCCAACAGATCTTCCTTATTAATGAGGACTGTTGGAGACTTTTACTAAATGAAAAGGGCCGCTGGTGCCGATTTGTGTGTCACAACAAAGTGATTTTCTAATATCATTGAATGTCAGAGAGAAAGAGAAGGAGAGAGAGAAAGAGAGAGGGAGAGAAGGAGAGAGAAAGGCTGGTGTGCAACGTAAATGATTTTATGTTGTCGTAGATGCGTGAAATTTGTTCAATATATTGGCTAATCGTTTCGACTTTAGCACTTTATTATAGTTGCTACTCTCTCACCATCAGCGCATGTTTTTGCGCACATAGAGGCTCCTGTGAATTAAGGAAAGGTAGTGTCACAGAGCATAATCCGGCGTACAATCTCGTTATGACGTGGCTCTATCACCTTTATCACCCATTATCATTGATTACGCTCAAAAGTTAGCAGTGAAATTTTGACCTACGTCTCCGCGCGTCACAGCTACCCTGACAATCCGTTAATTTGATGGATATAAAGTTTATTAAATTTTGGTGTGATGCCTCTTTCCTGCGGTTCTTGCCAAGCCAATAACTACGAGTTAGTCATCTGACTGTGGCAAGACTTGGATTTACTCACTGCAAAAATTTTGGATGGGAACAACGAACTTCATCTTAACGTCGGCTACTTTATTAAGGAATGAGACCCTGTTGTATAATGGAGTTCAACACTCACTGACACCTTCGGCCACGATATAACGCCAAGGTTTTACGAGGTAGCATTAACCACGGCGAAAATTTTCTCCTCACATCAAGAATTTTCAGAACATCTTATTTTCTTCTTACCTCTTTGTCTTTCTGTAATTACATTACATTATGGTTTCAATTTAAGAAAATATTATTATTCCTCAACCATTCTTTGACTGCAGGTCGTTGTAATCAAAGCCTGTGCCAAGCAGACGTGGAAATTCATATCAAAGCTGAATGTTTGCACATGGCCATGATACATCGTCAATATTTATCTTCAAACATTTCCATGCCTCTCTTAGGTCTTCCATATCTCATTACGACTGCTACCGAGACGTTGTGCGTGCTGGCAGGTCTCCCAGTGCCATTTATTTTATCCATTTTGTCATGTAGCCATTATATTTTTATCTTAGTGAAATTTTTAGTCCTACATCTTCGGAATTATGAATTTTTGTGCTGCATAATACTGCCTTAAGAGATGTGTGTGTTTTTTCGTTCTATCTTCCTTTTGCTTTCAATATATTAAATTTTTGCTTTCGCGGGAAAATTACAGCTTCATGGTGGGTGTTCATTGGTGCTGAACTGTAATAATCAGTCGGATTTCATTCTATTTGTAGTATCACACTAGCTGCAAAAAATTTCACCACTACATCGGGAATCTCAGAATCAAACCGGTGCCAGAAGTCGCCACCTTCATCAAAGAAAACCTGGTCGCATGGTGACAAGCTTCCGACTGAGCCATTAGGGCTGGCGACTCCCTCTGATGACGGCGTTGTAATACCCGATATCTGGGAAAATTTATTGTCAAGTCACTATTTTACCAATTGATTGAAAATGGGCTTGGAATTAATCAATGTGCCATGAGAATCAGGCTTCACATTTTTAAGCGCTTGACTAATTTTTAGCTCTTCGTTGAACGCAGTACGACTTTGTAAACCAAAGCTTTTAAAAATGTGCAAAAAAAACTTTCATTAAAACTTTATTTGTAGTTCGTGTGGCTCGTCTTTTATCACTTTATTAGGGACTCAAGTGCTTAAGTGATCCAAGGATTTTTTTGGATCCAGTTGGGGTTGTGCTATTTTAATCTCAAAAAACGAAATAGAGGAAATCAGCGCTGGTCATCTACTGTTCCTGATCGCTACTGGAGGTTTTTCCGGCGAAAGGAAATGTAAATCTTATGGAATAACGATATTTTTCCTTTGACTTTTTTTCGTAGTAGAATGGTGGAAGTTTTTTCTGCAGTTTTCAAACGTTTTTTACTTTTCATGACTATAGCAACCTATTCACGCAGTAAGTATCAATTAATGTGAATTAGGGCGCGTGTGGTGCAGTGGTCGGAGACGCCCTGCGAAGCACACGTGGAATTGATCCCTACGCCCATGGTTCACCAAGCTTTCCATCCATTCGGGCTCGGCAAATTGGTACCAGACTTGTCTGGGAGGATAGCGGAACTGGCTCGATACATCGGTAGGCCACCGCGAGTCATTGTAAAGGCCAGATATGCATTCAATCACCTCCAAATGATGCTTAATGAGGATGAATGCATGACGCATCCCTCAGGGATTGGTCAACGCTGAGTGCTCTATGCTTTTATCGTTTAATGTGAATTAAGCTTAGCTTAATAGATTAAAGATTAATAGTTTAGCGGAGAAAACTCAAGGACTATAACTCCAGTTGGGTTCAATTGCATTAGTTCATTCGGCTTTTTTACTTTTTGGGCAGCTAGTCTTATTCCCGTCCAGTACCCATTTTTCCTGACGCATTTGACAAATGAGTTATTTACTACTGTATGACCGTTTTTGGCAGGAGACTCGTTTTAAATAGCTACACGCTCAAATAGATTTTTTAGACCTTATCACAGTGGAATCTTTGGTTCAAAATCTCGGTGTGTAGTTAAAACTCTTCCAGGCAACAATGGGAGGCACAGAAACGACAGCTGGAGTCGAAGTTGCCGATCGACGTCCAACTTCTGATGGCGCAAAAGCGAGAACTTACCATGCAGTTGGATCGGGAGCAAAACGAAAAGCACGAACTGTTTCTTCAAGTTTGTTAATAGAGGCTTAAAATCTTACGGTTTAAAAAATTCTGAAAGAATTTGTAAATGTCGTCTAGTTATCTGATGCAGTAATGAAATCATCTGGGATATAATGACACAAATTTGATCACTGAATTCCTCACGATAACAATCCAGAACAGGATACTGTATTACTTATCTCCACTGTTTGACTAATTTTTTTGTCTTTTAATACACATTTTTAATATCAGGAATATTTTTCAAAGTTTGTAAATGGATTAACTTTGCAGAATATCAAAGTACACTGGGATATTCGTTAATCAGTGAGGCTTTGCTAGTGCGCGATTTTTTAAAGGCTTTACGGTAGTTACTGATTATAGATGAACTCAATGGTAGCTCAGCTCGCTGACACACAGCCGCCGGGTGAAGTAGAAAAACTCAAATCGCACAACCTGGAGCTGCAACGACGGGTAGAAGAACTTGAGGTTTCTAGTAAATTTTTTCTAATAGTTCATAGTTCAGTAGCTGAATTCACCATCAACTTTAACACAGCTCTTTAAAGGACAAATCTTTTTGGTCATGAAATATTTATGCCTTTAACTGTAATTGTGCGGCATAGCTGTGCTATACTTATTTAGAATATCAGTGCCCAAATATATAATGTTTTTAGAATATCAATGAAAAAGTTATTTCGTTTCCAATGCCATCGAAATCTTGGTTTCGCGTTTTTTCTTTTTTGGTTATGAGGTGTTTGGCTGGCTAGATCGTAGTTAACTTGACCTTTCCGCGCTCCGGAAAAGGCGAAATCCGCTGACACGCCAATTTTTCGTAAATAAAGAACAAAGTAAAAAATTCGTCTTTGCTCATAAGAATATTAATGAATTATTTAGAGCTCCTCGGCGAAAGAGAGCAGTCGGTTGGAAGCCGATTTACAGAAAGCCAGGCATGAAAATGAGTTGGTGAAGCACCAAAGCGATCGAGAGAAACGAAAAATGCAGGCGGACATTGAGGAAACCAAGAAGGAGCTGCATATGAAAGCAGCCGCTTTGCAGTCTTTGATGCTGGCCACGCAGGTAACTGACACTGAAATCGATTTCGAATTCATCAGATTCCTTAAAAACCGATGGGAGTGAACGACAATTCACTTCTGTCTGCTTGTAAACAGAGAGTAACAGCAGTCTGCTGAGTGGTCAGTACGCTTAAAAGTCTTGATAGTTGTTTACATAAAGAAACCGGGTCAAAGCACATTAACGAATGCGTACTCTGAGAACATCAAGCCCTTCCGTGAAGTACATCTACACTACGGTTACATGTAGGCATCTTATCGTAAAGAAAAGCTGCCTATTAATGTAGAACTTCAGTGTTCGTGTAGAAACATCTATCTATTCACTCTCTTCACAGGCATTGTGAGAGTCCTCCCAACTAGTTTGGAGAAAAGGAGATAAAAATGGAGGAGAACGCGATGTGCACCTTTCTTTTGAATTAACTAGTGGTGCAAAATAAAATTCCATTTCGAATGGAGTAGCTGCTTTTGCTTCGTGAGTGTCGTAGGTATTACATGCTTCAATTTCTTAGGACTGTGCAAAGGCAGATCGCTTAAAAGAAGAAAAGGAAGCCTTGGAGAAATTGCTTGAGGAATCCGAAGCGGCACTGGCAGCATCTAGGCGTGAGGTACAAACCAAGAATGAAGAGATCAAGAAATTGCTCAGGTTCATGAGAGCTTTAAGGTTTCTTTGCTGTGCTTTTTACTTAGCATTCCTTGAAAAAGATCATGTTTAATAAGTGGGCATCGACAAGACTAGAAAAGAGCGACAAATCTATCAGTATTCAGGTGTATACAAAACTTATCTATCTATTGTTTCTTGTTATGTTCTCTTTACAGGCAGTCAGAAGATAGTAGCTCATCATCGCAAAAGCTGGATGTGTTTAAAAAGAAGCTGGATGATACAGAGAGAGCTCTTCAGTTTGAGATTGAAAATAAGGTTTGTTCAGTTGTTGCAGTTTTTGTCTATTGTACCTGTTTTTCTTGCGCTTTGTCCACCTGTTTCTTTTGAGTATTTCTTTTGGTTGGCTGAATAATTTTGTTCTATCACACCAAAGTAAAGGTGAATACCAAATATTCGACTTGATGAGTAGTCAAGGGTCATTGTTCTACTCTTTTCCAACTTATGCCCTTCCAAATATGATGGATTTTTATTTTTACGACATAGCACGTCGTTTTGCTTTGTTAACTTAAGGAATCTTTAATGAAATCCTGCGAAAAGCTGCTCGCCGACGGTAAGCAAGCAGAAGAAAAAATCAAGGAATGGCGGTTGAAACACGAAGAAGATGAAACAGTGATAGCCAACCTTAGGAATGAGCTACAAAGGCTGGAAAAGGTGAGCGTTCTGCTTTCACGAGCTTTTTAATACGCCCTAAAAAGGTTGTTTGTAAGTGGCTAAGTATAGAGAATAGTTTTTTATAAACTACGTAAACACTCAGAGCTTTTATGCACTGAAATCAATGCACACGATTTCTTATGTATTAACTGCGTTTAGTTGTCTCCCTTTGTGATTACAGAATAACCGCATGAAGGAGTTGCACGTCTTAGTCGTAGATTTTCCATTTAATAATGCAGTAATCTCATTATATAAGACGTGTTATTATCAAAATCTTACTTATATTGTTGTTTAGCTTGCACAGGACGAGGCCGCACACAATCGTCGCTGGGAATTTGAGCGGTCCGAAGAAGTGAGGACCCTCACTGAGAAGCTGGTGAAGTTCGAAGCTGAGCTGAAGGAGAAGGAAAGCAAAATAGATGTACGTCGAGCCTGTAGTCACAATTTGTTAATTCACATTTCTGTAGCTGAATTAGGTTCTTCAGAGTTAAAATGAGACACTTTGAAAATAAGTGTACTATTTTTTTATAGCGTAATGTCGTACCTCTGGTAAATAAGCTTAACCAAGAGTAAACGACCCCAAAGGAATTTTTGTCATCTACTCAATGAGTCTTCGTCGTGTACAGCAAGGATCGTTTTATAAGTTTAAAGCGCGATATCTAGTAAAAGCTGGGAACTCTACAGCTTTATTATCTCAGGGCTTCACCAAAAATTATTGGCCACGCTGCTCATGAAAACGGCAGTGCATCTAGTATTTAAATATATTTTAAATTTTATTTGCCTTTATGAGGATCTCGAAAGGTACTACAGTTCTTTTCCACTTCATTAAATACTGATGACAAGTAATTCTGTATCTAGTTCAAGCAAAAAAAAAACTTGTTCTAGTCAATACGATTGCAACTACTGACAGCTCAATCTCGAGCAGAACAGACTGAGGCCGACTTGAAGGCAAAAGAACAACAGTTGGTGAATGCCGAACGCAGAGTGCAGCAACTACAGGCGCAACTCGACGTCTTGGGGAAGGATACTGTTGAGGTGTGCTAGCCAAAACCACTTGTCTCTTATTTTTCACCTTTTATCAGTCATGTGGAAAATCTAAGGAGTGCCAATGACCCATGACGAACTGTAAAACAGATTCATTAGCAACTCGCAACCTCTGAAACCGAATTACCTACATTGTCTGTGAACCCGTGTGTTGATGGTCGAGTTACTCGAACCAGTGCAAGCAAAGCTTCCTTTTTTCCCTAATCGTGAACAAGAGTAGCCCAGTGGCTTTTGATGGCTTTAGCAACTTGTTGAGCATAATTTCTTTCTTCTAGGAGTTAGTGAACAATTTTGACCATCCGGCGATGATCGTCCTGCAGGACGTTTGACATCCCGAGGAACACAGTCACTAACGACTTTTCTCTATCGATTATCGACAAAATGTACTACGTATGTGGCCCACATTATCGTCGACAGTTTGGTGTATGAAACGGCGTCTTTGATTTTCGATCGTTGACATAGGTCGGAGATTCCCAGTCCCTTACTCACTTGTGCGATACAGGATACTCCTAGCATCGTCTTTTCGACTACATCCTTTATAACGTTAAATAATCGTTCATACCACTTAAATTATGACCAGTTTTTGACGAATACGTTGAAGCAGAAAAAATCGTAAACCAGAAGAAGTGGACACGCACTAGAACGATGTTGTCCGTGTTCACCATATCCCCGATGCTCTTGGAACGTCCTCTAGCCGCTCGCTTCTGCCTGCCCAACTCTGGAGGTAAGTTTGTTCATCATGTGGGCTTCTCGGCTGAGATAGATGTAGCTGGCGTATTTGTGAATGTTCATTCACATTTTTGTTAAACGAGGACCGGAATATGAGAGTGATTCATTCTTCATAAACGTAGTTTTTATGTCATTTAAGCGAAGACCGATCTTTCCATAGGCGTTATCAAAGTCGGTTAGCAATCGTTGCGCCTGACTGTCATACGAACGATGTCATCAGCAAAGTGAAGAGGTGTAATTGCCGACCATCGTTTTTCACTCTCATGTTTTCTCATTCAGTTTCGCATGGTGTTCTTGAGGATGGCGATAAATGATTTTGGAGAGATGGCATCGCCTTTCTTAATCTCTTTTTTGACGGCAATGTTAATACCATTATATTGTGGAAGGAAACCGTGATTGTCCAAAGCTTCCATAACTGCTTCTATTCTAACTGAGTCGAAGTCTTTCGTTAAAACGATAAATGTGAAAAAGAGAGATGTCTTGTATTCCCATGAAACTTCAGTGAGTCTTTTTATCGTGTGGTTATGGTCCATCGTACTAAATTCTTTCCGAAAGACTGTTTGCTCACATGGCTGTCCTTTGTCGAATGTTCTGCCAATCCCGTCTAGGATGACTCAAGTGAAGAGTTTGTAGACGACAGACATCAAACAAGTTGGCCGATATGCTAACTTTTAATGTGATCCCTATTACTATTTTTCACGGTAGGGCATGATGTCAAATACAACCATTGTTAGCTGATTGGTGATTGCTGATGGCACCATTAGATAGAAAACTGGCCGAGGGAAAGGCTAAGCAAGGACCTCGGTGGTGCAATGGATAGCGCGTAAGTCAACGGAAAGAGTGGTTGAGGGTTCGATTTGGCCAGAAGTCCGAATTTTGCAAATATCTTAGCAACATATATTGGACGATAGTTGCCGATATCGTGGAGGTTGAGCAATAGCACAGTCTTGTTTACCTTCCATTGAATAGGAGCCTTGCATTCTGACAGGTAATGTGTGAAGAACCGCGCCAATGTGTTGATGAGAACTTGTGGAAGGTTCTTCAGGTACTCAGAGGTATAATCGTCCTCCCTTATTTGCCTTATTTGACATAAGGAAAAGTGGACACCGGTAGTCAAGGGATCTGACTAATAATCGTGAGCGATTTTCTCTATTGCTTTTCTAGATTCTGCAACTCCTCCTTCTTCGCGTCGGTGTGCAACCATCTTGGTCTTATAATTGTCGAAGTTTCGGTGGACTTTGCGAGTGCTCTTCCAGGCAGCAGCTTCGGCTACGACTGCTGCGCCTCCCTCTTTAAGTTCTCCTTTCCTCGCCTGTCTGCATTGTTTTCCAAGTTCGGACGTAAGTATCCTTTGGCTCGTGCGATCCATGCTAACGTCTCAGCTCGAGTGTTTCTGGAAGCAGACTCTCTAGGTGATTTTCCAACTACAGCTTTCGTAGCGCTGACTTGAAAATGTTAACTGAGACGATCTCATTCTTCGCAGATGTCATCAAGGAACTGAATAAATCTCAGCTTATGGTGGTTTGTTTTCCTTTTTTCGAGAAATGAAATCTAACATGGAGGAAGAGACAGTGCGTTACCTTTTGAAATTTTAGAAATAACAGCTACAGACGTTAGACGAGACTTTCGATTTGTTCTGTTTGGTTATGGTACTCTGCCCTGGAAGACTACAACTTCCAGCGTTGAGAACGGGGCTTCTGGAATTCTGAGTTACCATGAATGGCTTCAGTAGTCGTGAACAGCCCGGGCACCAGCTCACTTTGCTCGCTCCGTTGTTATCCGACGGTCCTAATGAGTCATTCTTTAGACGTTTTTCTGGGTCCAATACAAATGTTAAAATCTTTAGTGTTCTTAAGGAGTGCATGGTACTCTCTGCAGAACTTCTACAAATCCATGTAGAATTCTTCTTCTTCTTTGTCATTGCCTGATATTGCTGCGTAGACGACGAAGATTGTTAAAGTCAATTAATACTGTTTCATACTGATACACATTTTCTAAGCGTCCAATTCAGGGTGTTAGTTGTTCGAATAAGTCTATTTTCAATGCTAAACACAGTCTTGATGATAACGTCGACGCCGCCAACTCCTCTACTGTCGCGTGTTCCAAGGAACAGCATCCGGTGTTATAGACGGCGTTGAATGAGTGGTTCTTCTCGTTTCAGTCAGTCCTATGACGTCGTACCTTATGCTTTTTGCATGAATGATCAAGTCTTATATTAAGGGCTTAGATGCAAGTGAGGTTTTATTGTAGGGTAAGTCCTTCGAGATCTAGGCAGCATAGAGTTGTACTGAGATTATAACAGCTGCGCCATACTTGTGCTACCCAACCCTGCCGTATTGGGAGCTCTTTCAGGGTCAGGGGAATAATACCCACTTATTCTACTGTGTTTAGCATTCGATGCCCACGTAAAAGCTTTCTGAGTTCTAAGCATTGGAGCTGAGTGTACCCGCTGGTAGCTTACTCCTATAGCAGACGAGGAGCTCATTTGTTGGAAGCGACTCCTAACCAACTCCTGCTTACCTCCCTGTCACTTGCTCGTAGAGTTTTCGGCCAATTGATCTGTGGAATGCCGTTTTCATAAATGAGATCGCACTCAAGTACTCTTGCATGAACACGTCTCCGTAATCAGAAGGTACATGCCAAGTCGGAGTGTGAGAAAATCTCATGTAGCCTTGCTACTAACCGATGAGGAAAATTCATGGCCAAAACCAAATATCTGGGCATTTTTTTACTCATATTTATATAAGACCTAATCACCATGTTATTTCTTTATATTTCTATTTACGAAATTTTAGAAGGCTTTAAAAACAGGCGAAATCAATATGTGGTAATTCGTTCACCTGAAGCTTTGGGGTTATGTTTTATTTTTGGCGAGATTTTTTAACGATCAGTTCTAGTTTGGATTCGTTAAGTGACTATGTAGGTGGATATCCTGCGAGAGGAGCTGAGGGAGGCGGAAAGCCGCTATGACGCTGTTGTTTTGCGCCATCAGGAGTCCGAGACGTCTTCACTGGTGAGCGTTTGACGATATTTGTTATGGATTTACTCACATTTCTCAAAGGGTGGAAATTTAAGGTGTCTTTACAAGCTCAGAAGCAAGTTATAGAAGAGCTTGAGCAGAAATTGCAAGCTGCCGAAACGATGAAATTGGCAGCTGAATCAAACCTGTGAGTTCTCCGATTTGCGTATTTATTCGTTTAATTTTCATCGATTTGGTTGATCCCAAGATTCTTTTTGTTCGTTTCGTTTTCTCGTATACATCATCAACAGATCTATTCGAATTTGTGTTTACATCCGACTACTGACTGAGAATTTGATCTTCTTTATTTACTTCATGAATGTTATTAAGTGCTAGTCGAGTAGATTCTCCCTAGAATCCTAGGACAACCGTGGTATGGCGTTTCGAGGTATTCACAGCAGTTACTGCCCAGTTTTGGTTTGGAGGGAGCTTTCCTATACGTCTCTTCACCATCACCGAATTCTCGACACCAGGGCGAGTAGAGGCTTGATGGCTCAGTGCGGCTTCGAACTTGCTGCTTTGCACGTATTACTGAACACCATCTGTATCACTGCGTTTTCCGCGCCCTCCCTTTATGCATTTTCATTGTATGAATCAAGCCTTCTGTACACATATTTTTTTCTCTACTAAATTTCACATTTTCATGGAGTTACTCGAACTGTGAGGCTTCTATTTGTTCTTCTTGGACTTCGCCATTTTGCCATAGTAAGGGTAATTGATAGCGGGATTTCTTTCCTACCTAATTGTTTTGTTTTCTACTTTTATTCATTTGTTTAAACTATTATTTTCCAAAAAATCGGTGGTGGTAGAACACTGTAGTCTACATGCTTTCGACAACATGAAGCATGAAATATATTACTGAATAGGTCGTAATAGACAAAATTGTAATGAACAGAATTCATCGCTTTTTAAGTCGCTTCTGTAGTCATTTTCAGGACAACACTCCGCGCGGAACTCGAAGCGTCTCATGGCGAACTCAGTGACACCAAAGACACATTGCAGAATTTGGAACGCGAGCTCTCCGATGTGAAAGCCGAAAAAAAGAAGTTGGAGTCAAAAGCGTCCGTAGCCGAAGAACTGAGTACACTCATGACATCGCTCTCAGCTGTTCGTGCTGAGAATGGGTACGGTAGAAACTTGTATTCCTATCTTAACTATTCAGTTTCTATCTAAAATTCGTCAGCAATTCTCTATGGAAATCAATCTCGTCTCTCTCGCTCTAGTTCTAATTTTTGCTTTCTAGCTAACAAGTTGTGTCTACCAGAGCCAACCGCTTGACTCACAAAAAGGGAGAGTTTTATTGAAATAGGAAACTACATATGGCAAGGAAAGAATTGTAGAACACATAATGTGCTAAGCAATTTTCAGACAATTCCAAGAGGAGATCAGATCGCTGCATGCTGAGGTGCAAGAACTAAAGGAGGAACTGGAGCGGTCAGTGGAATTATGTGAAGAGTGGAAGGGGCGTGCGGAAGTAGCGGAGAGGGAAAAAGAAATAATGGAAAAGCAAATTAGCGGTGAAAAAGAGAAGTGAGAGCTTCCACCCATGATTACACGATGTTGCTTTAGGCTGTCATTTTCCAGATTTTTTGCCGTTTCTTCAACGACCAAGCAACACAGGTCAGATCAGTTGAGGTCAGAGAACGGCAGTGAACTGGAAACTGAAAACAACAAACTAAGGGAAGACACTCGTGTTTTGCACGAAGAGCTCTTGAAGGTCAAAAGTGAGCAAAAAGCTAACGAAGAGGAATCCATGAGAAAGCTGCAAGAACTGACGGAGAAGTGTGATGCGTTGCAGAAAGAGGCGAGTAGTAGCCGGTTAAAATGTGAAGCGTTGGAAGGTGAGCACGTATTTTGATGAACGTTACGCATGTTGCTTACGATAGGCTACGGTATCCAAAGAAATAATAGCTATAAATTCTTCAAAGTGCTTACGTTATCTTAGAGAAATCTTACTAAAATGTTCAACGTGACCGTTTATATATGTTATTGGCACTATTGCTACTGACTATAATATCATATGACCACTGTGTTATACCCATTTTCAATCCGCTGAAGAAACGTGTGTTGAAAGAAACGGTCCAAGTTTGCAAGTGATTGCCCGGGTAGGAAAACTTATTTGGGTTCGACATCTGCCTATGTGAAAAATACCCTTTCCAGAAGAACATAATCGTTTCCGTGATTTAACTAACAGGGAGAAAAACGAATGGTTCGAAAGTTCGGAGGAACAACGTGGAAGGGTAAAATGAACTCTTGATTTTCATCTACTGTGGATTTGTATCAAAACAATCTTCTGGTAAGCAGATATCTTGCAGGTCAAAAGGCTTTTGCAAGAAGTGGAGGAATATAAGGAAAAACTTAAAGCCGCTGAAGAATTAGCGACTGAGGAGACGAAAAAACACAAAATGGCTTGCGAAATGTTGGCAGTAGTGGAGAAAGTGGGTTGCGTTAACCTATTTTTTCGAAATATCTGGCTGCTGTAACTCCTATCCGAATTCCTGCTATAGGCAATGTATTCTTTAAAAAATTCAACTTAAAAAAAACTGAAAGTAACGTTGGACGGAGTTTTAGACATACTGTTAGCATACCACGGAATATTCTCCATGATTGTTTGATTGATTGACTTAAGGACGTGGAGAAAGTTTTCTATAAGGAAAAAAATGTTCTTGAGAGAATGACAATTGACGTGAGCATTTTTTGTTTTTTTTAAGATCATAAATGAAGTTGATGTTTCGAACCAGGTTAAGTTCATAAAGCTTTTGCCTTAGTTAACTGAACAGTTATAGGATCAAACCTTCCTGAATCCTAAAATTTATTTCCTTGTGGAATATGTTAAATGAAAAAGCTTCTGTTGGTTTGGTTTTCTCGATGTTTGACGTTTAGGAATACGAAGAAATGAAAAGCACTTTGAGGAGCATTCAAGGAGTTTCGACACATTCTCTGGATAGACTTCAAGATTCCGAGAATTTGGCTGCTCAGATAAAGCAACAGTTTGAGGAACTTGAAAAGCAGAACGCAGCCAAGTTGGACGAAATGGCGACATCACATAAGGCGTACAAAGAGAGGTCCTAGGTTCATCAGTCATTGCTGAAAATCATTCCATGTCAGATAGTCTTCTACATGTTTCATCTTTAGTGAAACGAATCTTTATATGATTTCTAACACATAACGAACGAAATGCATTGATTTACATACGTATAGTGCGAAAATTCGACAGCTTTGAACTTCAGCCGGGCACATCTATAATTGTAGTCAACTCTATTAATCTAAGCAAAAAACGTTAGAATCTGCATATCTATATTAACGAAGTGGAGATATTTTCTATTCTATAACGGTAAAGCTCGGATATTTTCGGGCCTACGAACCATATTTTCTTTGGATTTTTCCCTCTTTGTTGATGTTCGTAATTCGAACAACAAGGAGATTGTATAGTTGCGACTTCTCAGTTCAGAGTACGCGATAGTTTTTCGGAAAATATTTTTTACATTTACTGCCATAGAGCGCGTGTAGCGCAGTGGTTGGAGGCGTCCTGCAACGCACACATGGGATCGATCCCAGCGCCTATGGCACACCAAGCCTTCCATCTCTCCGGGGTCGGCAAATTGGTACCGGACTTGTCTGGGAGGATAACAGCACTAGCAGATACATCGATAGGGCACCGCGAGTCATTGTAAACGTCAGATTTGCATTCAGTCACCTCCAAATGATACCTAATGAAGTCGAATGCATGGCGCATCTCTCAGGGATTGATCAACGCTGAGAGCTTTATCCTTTCATTTATTTTATTTACGACTATTGCATTGGCAATGTCACTAAGATTTTTATTTAGTTTTAATTTTACAAGGTACAATTTTAGGTTTTCTTTGAAGTCAAAAAATAGTTTACAAAAACATGCTAAGTCCGTCGAGTTCTAACGTCTTCAACTTCTATATCTATCGAAAAGTTATCAGCAGTTATCAGAAAACCAACCTCGTTATAAAATATGTTCTTCAGTTGAAATCTTCCGGTTTTCTCGTTTAATTTTACAGTGGCAAAGCTGATTTGCTCTAGGTACGCCAATAAACAAATAGGCATGATTTAAGGTTGGACAAGCGAATAGAAGATATGGAAGCAGCAAGACTCGAACAAGTGAAGGAGTTAGAAAGGCAAAAGAATGAGAGCGCAGCGATTTACCAGGAAAAGCTAGAGTTGGCCGAGAAGCGGCTTGCGGATGCCGAAGAATCACACCGGATCGAGTGCGAACGACTGGAGATCGCTTTGAGAGAGAAGGCCTCTGCTCCTGGGGTAGAAGAACTGCAACGGGTTAGGGACGAAGCGGAAGCAGCTGCTAAGGAGCAGAACGAGAAACTGAATAAAAAGGTAATCGTGACTGTACAAGACCATTATTTCTACATAATAGAGTTAAATGGTTTCGAACATTCTTAGGCCACTGTATTTTCAAATTCATAGAAGGATATTTTAGCATGTACTACGGTATATACTTTTCTTGAGATGAAAATGAGAGTTTGAAAGGTAAAGAACTCTTGAAAACTGATGCTTTTGTTCGCAGGTAGCCGATCTCGAGAATCGACTCAATCAAGCTTCGAAGAATAACACGGAAATGATCGCCAATATGCGTGACATGTCAGCGTTGCTCGAAACCGAAGCGAAGAAACGGGAAGAGTTAACTCAGGAGCGGAGGAAATGGATGGAACAGCTGGATGAGATGGAACGGCAACTCGAAGAGGCCCGTAACAGTTCTGAAGAGGAGTCTAAGGTATCTGTTTATGCATTAATAAACGAAACATTTTCAATTGGTACTTTTAAATTACTACTCTTCCTTGACACGGATATCATCCTTAACAAACAGCATGAAACGATAACGGTAACGATGAATTCGCATTGTTAGCACGTTGCTGAACTTCATGCGCCCCAATTACATTCTATGTCATTTTATTCAATATTTTCTATGTGACTGACGTTTTAAAGAGAAGATTTCAGCTTGCTGCAGAGAATGTTCGCTTAGCTAGCGAAATGCTGAAAGCACATTCACAAGCTGAAAAAACTCTGGAAGTGGAGAAGGAGCTGATGACGAAGCAGTTCAGTGATAAACTCAAAGTGTTAGTTGTGTAAAGTATTTAAAATAGCTAGATATTTTGAATGTTAATCTATAATGAAAGGACGCCTTATTAATCAGATGTGATTTAAGCAATTAGATGGTGAAAGTTCACCAGCGTGCTTGTCTCTTGCGCTATGGAATAGAGTCGAACATTCGGAATGGTTCGAGAAAAAATCTGAGTTTTAATACGTTTTGACTGCCAATATTGTGTTTACTGCTGTTTGATACTATAAAAGAAGGCTAAAGCTCTCGGCGTTAACCAGTCCTCGAGGGATGCGCCGTGCATTTAACTTCATTAAGCATCGTTTGGAGGTGATTGAATGCATATCTGGCCTTATAGTGACTTGCGGTAGCCTAGCAATGTTTAGGTTCAGTGCTCCCGCGCAAGTCTCATACGAATTTGCCGACACCGGCTTGGATAGAAGACTCGGTGAACCTGGAGCCCGGAATCGAATTCATGTGTATTATAAGGAACTTTTAACGATTGCGCGACATGTGTTCCGCTATTAATGAAGCCATAATACTAACCATCTCTCATCCTTGGTGTTTCCGAAAGTAGTTCCTGTGGTGACCATTTCCCTTATGATCATTTAAACGTGTGGTTCACGTTACTCAAGCATCCGATTTTCATCAAGGAATTCATCAACCGATGACTGATGAACGATTAAAACGTTGAGTTTTCCCAAAGTTTAGATTTGACATGACATTACACTTTGCAAATTCGTGCTCATTTCTTAATCGAGTTACTAAATGAAGCACGGAGGATGTACCTCTGCAATTACTCAAGGCACTGAGCTTCGGTTGTTTTCTTAATCTTCTGATTTAGAAAAAAAACAAGCGTTTGTATATAATGCTGAGTTATATGCAAAACTCCGGACCGCAGGTGTATGCGGTGGGGAACAAACGCGCTATTGTCCTTTCCGGGGAGTAGCGCATTTCACCACCACACTATCCGGGTCCTTCGTTTTGCCTGTCTCTCAGCTAGTTCTAGTGATCTTTTGTCATCAGCAATCACCCGTCAACGGGATTGATCTGGGGAGCCCAAATCGGCATTGAACCCAGTTAAGCTGAGGCTTAGTTATAATCACAATCTTAACCCTTTTATTTACTGCCTTTTTTTAAATGACAGTCCGGAAATAAATATATGTTGCGAAATATAACTCGTATATAATGCTGAGATATTTGCAAAACTCCGGAATGCCATTAAAAAGAAAAAGGCAGTAAATAAAAGGGTTAAAACAAGTGTTATTTTTAGGGTAAACAATGAACGGGATAAGTTGGCAAGCGAAATGGAAGCGTTGCGAGCTAAGATGAAAGTAATGGAGTCGAGGATCGAAGATCAGCGAACCTCTCTCGAACAAGCCGAAAGATTGTAAGTTGTTTGTATTGGTGGTTATTTTTCAAAAATAGATGCTGTGGGAAGCATAGGTACGGTCTAGTTACTTAGTACAAGCTTTTTCAATACAAGATATGACTCTTATCTCTTGAATATTATGAAATGAGACAGGTAGCGTAACCCACTGTGGCTAACTGGTTTGCATTTCTTAAAAGTGAAAAGCGGCATGCGAGCTTTTTCCTTCGAAATATTTCGAAACCTATTGGTGGTGACTGCCTTACCACTATTTTGCTAATAGAAACAGTAAACATGCAAATTGGAAAGTTCAACAAATATGAATATTAATCACCTATGATAATTCCTTTGCAGCAACAAAAATGTGTTAGAGTTTGAGAGAGCTTTTCGTTGATCCTTTTACAATTAAGATAATCGGGTTTTGATTAACCACTGAGAAGCTCCGTTGTTTCTCAGAGGGATATAAAAACGAACACATCCGTTTCAATAGTATTAAAAATAGGTTGCAGTTGATATTCTATATATAGAAAATGTTGTACCAAGTGAGGATATTGCTGGACTTAACCACTGCTGTCTATTTGTCTTTTTACACTACCGGACAACATATAGGGTGTTGGTCCTAGCACTTCTTTCATTCTATTTGTTTTTTCGCATTCATCATTCACAAACGTTTTCGGAGTTTGCGTGTGGGTTCAGCTACTTCTTGAGGATTTTGTTCTTCTTTATAAATGTCGATGAACGGTGGTTGAGTAGATTCTCTGTGGAATTGTGCGATAGCCATGTTAAGGCGTTCCGAGGTCCACAACACAGAAAATCGTCGACCTTTGTGGATCAGAGGGAGCTCCCAAACAAGTTTGAAACCAGCTTCCCGACTCCGGAGGGATGAAAGGTTTAGTTTGACTGGTATAGGATCGGAAGGATGGCTTGTGTTTATTATCGAACGGTATTTCTACCACCACCATAGTCCAGTCCTCAAGCACGATTACGGTCCACAGGAGTTTATTGCTGGTAATGTTAAATCTGTGATATTCCGACTTTTCCAGAATTTCAGGCTTGAATGACCTCTTCCATTAAATCTATCCAATGGACAGAGTCTGAAAATGCATAAATTTTTGACAGTACGTCCTCATCACTCTATTTGCTTGAATTCATCGGGCGACCGATGAATTATATGGCCTGCATTGAATACGTTTTGCGCTAAGTAGAACTGATTACTTCAATATTTTTATGAGAAAAAGCCAAACTACCTCAGTTTTTTTCGTGGGAATTTTTTAAATGTTTTGAGCTTGAATTAGGTGCTGTAAGCGAGGAGATTTTAGACGGAAAGACGAGCTAGCATCTATACAAGCAGAGCTGGACGCCGTTCGTAAGGAGAAGGCAAAACTTAAAGAAGAAGTAGAGAGGTATGTACTTTCTTCCTTTCTTATGGTTTTCTTCTTTTTAAGGTATTTTTCCAATTTCGGTATTCGTGTCTTCAAGTGGTACAGGTGAGTGATTGTTATCTCTGGCCTCTTGTCACAATTCAGTTCCTTAGAAGTGTTTCACGAAATGAAATGCGCATTCGCATCCATTGTAATGGTCTTCACCCTTTATAGGTGTCCTAAATTTATCAGCTCACTGTTTTCTGTTTGTTTTGGTTCGAAATGTTTTTTTTCGAAATGGAGTATATTTGAGTTTTGTGTGAGGTGTCAATAAGTTTTAGTAGAGGTTTTAGCTTTCGCAGTAACAACAACGGGCATCCAGTGCCTGCTGCCCGGCGGACTATTTCAAATATGTCCACCTACACTTACAACACGCAAACAGACTTCAGTGAAATTGAAGACGTACAGAGGTTACGGAGTGAAATCGATAAGTAAGTTTCGATCAAGGTTGGCAAGTTGCTATGGAAAGGTCAAGTTTGTGAAAAGTTGACCTAGAATTCGCTATCGATTCGATCGATTGTACCATAGGGATACTGAGATATGGGCAAAACACGGTGCCGTAGGTGGGCTTCGAAACCGCGATTACCCTTACTAGAGGCTCAAGTGATACCCACCACATTCCTGTTTAGGGGTCACTGCTGATAGCACCAATAGAAGTGTTAAAACATGGCTGAGAGAAAAGCAAAGCAATGGTCTGGGCTGATGCAGTGGAGAGTACGTGAGCCCGTGCAAAGACAAGAGTTCGCGGGAGTTCGAAGCCCAGCGAAAGTCCTGTTTTGCTTATATCTAAGCATATTTCCTATTCTGAGAATGTCTCTCTGGAATTCAATGTCAGCTATTCGCAGATCATCTGCTATATATCAAATTCGCATTGGTAGCGGGCAGCACGAAGTTATTCTAAGTTTCTTTGTGTTCGTTTTCTTTCCTCTTCTCAGTTTTATTTCCTCATTTAATGGTTCCGTTCTAAATTTTGGAAACCTTTTATTGTGTTTTTTTCTTCAGTATTTCTAATAATTTCTGATTCATTCTGAGTTTTTAAGCTTGTTTTCCACGTTTAAAATTGGAAGTAGCCTAGGCTCTACTTACCATGAGCCACTTTTTAACAGCTCGATTATTTTTGTTTCCAAAGATGAATTTTCTTCTTTCCGAACATACAGTCTTGGCTCTGGTAATGAATGTACGCATCTTTCCAAATTGTCGAATTATCAATTTTTTAAGTGTTTACTTTTTTATTACTGCCTCGTGCAATTTTCACGGCAGGGTACTATGCGAAACCAACCACAACGATGCTGAGATACAACTTCGGTGATGCCGAGATATTTGCAAAACTCCGGACCGCAGGTGTCTGCGGTGGAGAACGAATGCGCTATTACCCTTTCCGGGCTAACACGCTCACCACCACACCATGCGCGTGCTTCGTATCGCATGTCTCTCGTCTGGTTTGCAAATATTTCAGCATCATTGAAGTTGTATTCCGCAATCTATCTTGCCATTAAAAAAAGTAGGCAGTAAATAATAAGTTAAAGATGCCAAGATAATCGCAAAACTTGGATCCTGGCCAGATCGAACCACGATTTCCCTTTCTGGGGACTCGCGCATTACACATTGCGCCACGCCACGAAACCTCTTTGCCTACTTTTCTCTCAGCTAGTTTTCTATCTACCACTGCCGTCAGCAATCACTCGTCAGTAGGATTGAATCTGGAGAGCCCACATCGGCATTGAATCCAGTTAAGCTGAGGTTGCAGTCGAAATCATAATGTTTACTTGCGAATAGCTCAGCATCGTTGCGGTTGATTTCGCGTATTAATTTTTATTTTCATAAAGTGTAGAGCGATTAACTGCAGTTTTTATCAATGCTGGTGTTTTCTAAGCTAAACCGTACATCATCGGACTTTTTTGACCTTCTAATTTGGTCTTTTAAAATGCGACTCTTATTGATTACAAGACCGAACGGTTTCGTAATAACAAATTTGTCAAGTAATTCGCTGCATTTCTTCAATAAGCAAACATGAGGTTGATGCTGTAACATTTATTAGCACACAATAGCTAACGTTCCGCCGGTTTCGTTTTCTTCAGCACTTGGAAAGGTTAAATGGGATAAAAAAACTTTAGTAGATAAGATTTCGAAACCGACTTTCCTTGAACCTCGGTATCAATAATCAATATGTATTCTTTCTTTGGTGAGCTGACACGAGGTTGATAATGATATTTATTCATTTTCGGCTAACGTTCCGACGTCTTCGTCTTCCTCATAGCCGATGATCCGAGTCGATGGTCCATGCTTGTTGTTCGTCTCGACGTTGCAGCTTCGCCTTTCGAAATATTACTACGCTTTGTGCTAGCTGATAAAAACACCGACTTCTGCACGATGTGCGCATTGATATGTGTCCGGAAGAAATACAAGTTGTTACCACCGGACATTATCATTATATCGACCATCAGCATCGTGTATAAAAGGGCATCACTGAGTGAGGAGTTCTGCACACTCACCGCTTTCTATGAGTCTTCCACCGAGTATGTCGCGTGAAGACCAACCGCACAGAATTCACATGGAAGCGTAACGTGCCCCTCCCATCAGAATAACAGGCTTATATACTGTCCAATATCACGCGTGATAGCAAGGCATTCCTCCATGCGGTTCATTTTTCTCGATTCTTGCGAGAGTATCATAACCCTTACTTCAAAATCTTCTTCGTTATGTTTCTGCGTGTGATTGTATGCTAAATGTGATTGAAATTTTGGTTTAGCGTTTTCTCTGTTTGGGTTATGGAGGTGTTTGGCCGAATGGTTTGCTGTCAACTTAACCCTTCCAGGCTCTGAGGAAGGCGAAATCCGCCGAAACGTCAGCTTGTGCGTAAATAAAGAAATAAAGTAGCACCTCGTGTTTGCTGAACAGAAGTAGAAAGATATATTCAATCAATGCCGAGGTTAATAGAAAGTAGGACTTGGGAGTTACCAAATGTTGTATTCGTTGTAAGAGTTCCAGTTAATTGGTGGTGAGCAACCGTACAGAGTATTACATGGGCGAGGAATGCACCTAGGTCAGGTCACAGAATCAGCCTAGGGTATGACGCGAGGTTACACGTGATAACAAGACGCTCCTCCTTGCTGTTCATTTTTGGGTTTTTGGAATTAATCCAAAACGCTTCAAGAGTTTTACGCATTAATGTTCCGGATTCTTGTACGAAGAGAGTGACTTTTACACTCAAATCTTTCGCCTTATATTTCCGTGTCCTATGCGCGTCAAGTGGAGTGTTTGTTCTCTATTTTACCTACGAGATGTAGTTTTAAACGGACGCAGAGTGTCTACCCGTTTCGCCAATAGATTTGTCCCCTCATACTTTACAAGAAATTAGATATACCGTACCCGAAGTCATGCAATCACCTTCTCTACCTTTAGGAGAAATTATGCAGTTTTTCGTTTACATAGACGGTCATGTAGGAGGTTACAAACTAGCTGACGTCTTACAGTATCCACTTGTTTTTCTATCACTATTACAGAATTCTCTAGATCAGCCATTGTGGACCAACGTGTTATAGCTGCACACATTTGGCAGGGCAGGTTAAACAGGACCTTATTCTCGCTGTAATTATCGTTTAGGGGTGTGGTTTTTCCTCTACGCCTATCCCGAGGAGCAACAGTTTCATCGCCATTTGAAATAGCTATTTTCCACCCCAGTTTCAAGGATTCTTCCTTTTGCTTTCTTCCTGTGCACACACCGGTGGCGGTTCGAAACATATTTCTTACAAGCGCGATTTTAGTGTGTGCGGAATGAAAGGAGAGATATTGAACCACTGTGTTTTTCACTATTTGGCTTTCGGTACTATTTAGTAATACAACCACTTTCGGATAGGTTAATTTGAACTTTCAGAAATGAAGGTCGTTTTTTTTTTGTTTCTCTCGAGTAAACTTGATGTACTCTAAACTGAACTCTGAATGTCTATTCAATAATTCAAACATTTGTCCATTTCCTCTGGTGTCGAGTAAATTGCAAACCAATTATCTATATACCTACAGTAGAGTAATGGCTGGAGATCGTTACTAGTGCTTCACCCTAGACATAAATGCAATGACAAGGCTTGGTCCCAGTCGCTGTCTAATTACCGACCCTCTAATTTGTGCATAGCATTTACCGCAGCATCTGAAGACCGAGCAGTTTAGGTAAACCTTTAGGAGGGCCATGAACTGGTGAATCGAAGACCCACACATGTTTATTATTCCTCCGTCGGGCACAAGAAGCTGACGGATTGCTTGTACTGCGGAGTCATTTGACACGTTACTATATAGGGTAGTAACGTTGAAGGACTCCATAGCACACGCGCTGCTAGGACTCTGGTTGCGTAGACGAGGGGCATTTTGGTATTCGTGAGAAGGGCTGATATGTGCTTCAGCAGCTGCATGAGAATTAGATTTATAAGCCAAGCTATTCTATCGATGGGTCCGTTTAGACAATTGATGATGAGTTTCACCTTCAAGGTTGAGTGTCGGTAGACGCCAGGTAATCAGTGGATGCTAACTTAGTAGCTTCGATAAGTATGTCTAAGATGGGCATGTTAGTAATTCGATTTTAGATTGGGAGGTAACTAATGGTTTTCAGCCTGCCGCCCTTAACACTTTTGACCCCGTTCGTTGTTCAATTTTCGATATTGACCTTTCAATTCCTTTTCAGGTGATGAGCGATAAAGCGAAGCGTTTTCAATATGTTTTTTCGCTCTCTCAACATCTAACTGGCGGTGATTTACTACACTCTCAACGCTTATCACTAATTGATAGTATGACAGTTTTCGATGTTATTAGTCTCCATAACTGTCGCCTACCGCATTTTTGCGCCGCTATAAGGTAGGAACAGAGCGTTCTTTCGCGGTAATGGTTAAAGTCATTTAGAGTTTTGTTCGAAATTGTGCCTTTGTCGTTAGGCCCCTGCTGTCTAAGGAATGTTTACGGAAAGCGAGATCGTGGTAATGCCTCTACTTCTCATTCTTCGTTCCTATTTCGTGTTTCAATTCTAGCGCTCCTGCAAAGTCGATCTAGAAACTTGTGCAGACTGCATGGGATCCTACGCAAGGTTTCTTTCGAAGTTTGTTGTACTGATGAGAAACTTGGACCGAGTTCTTATAGCGAGCGCGCATCGTCAAGGCGAGTTGTGCCTACCAACACGGTGGCCCTTCATTTTTCTGCGCGTTATCTACACTATTTTGACTCTTAGCACTTTCTTAAACACATTGAAGCTGATTTGTGCGAATGGTTTGCTAAATTTTGAAATTCTCTACTTAAGGCTACTTTAACGTTTGACCTAACAGAATTGCAAACCGAAGTTGAAGAAATTGAACTGAAGAAAAACAGTTGAGGAAAAATTGTGAATTGTTGATCAGTGGGATTACGGAAAGTCGGTCTTGGCATTTGTCTCAAGTAACCTCCAAAATTAATACCGC